TATTTTCCAAGAAAACACCGTTTCCTATCATCTCTCCTTTATTTTACTCTAAATAATATTTTTAAAGTAAAGGAAGAAGGGGAAGAGAACAATTTAACACTTCCAACCGAAAGCTGATTCTCTGAAAAGGCTGATACAGTGAGCAGACCTTTGACAAGACTTTTCATGTAAAAAATATAAAAGATGAAAAATAATATAGTGTGATGTAGCTCAGCAGCACAGTGCCTGCCTGGCAAGTACAAGGCCCTGAGTTCGATCTCCGGTACCAAACAAGCAAAAAATAGGATGAAAAAGTAAAAAATAACACTACATATAATACATTAGGAAAATTTAAACAAATACATCAGTTTGAGAGCCTAGATAAAATACATTCCTAGAAAAAGAAATACTAATGTTACCACAGTAAGAGCTAGACTTCTAATACACCATTAACCCTGCTAGTATTCAGTAGAGAAACTGTAATTACCCAGAAAGCCTCAGACCATGATAGTTTTGTGGGCCCTATAATTTCTATATTTAAATGTTATTTCAGAAGATAGAATAGGAAAGCTGTCCATTCTCTTTACAATTTATTGCAAAGTCTACCAAAACCTGATACAAATTTTATAAGAACAGAAATTGCAGGCATCACGTTGAATCACAGCCCTGTAAAACCTAAATGAATATCAGACTTCTAAAGACCTATCACATTGAAGTGGGGTTTACCCCAGGAACCAGAAATGGCTCTGCTTTAGCAGAGAAGGGGGTGGGGGGAGGTCAGTTTTCCCAGTAGGCTGAAGAAATATTGAATATAATTCAGTGCCCACTTACAATAAAACCTTGGAAAATTAAGAATTGAAAAGAACTTGCTCAGTCTGCAAGACACTGTCCAAAATCTACAGCAAAAATGTGTTTCATAGAGAAACTTTAGGAGCCATTCTTGAAGTTAGTGCTACTGCTGCTAGGCATAGCATCAGAGGTTCTGGCCAAGGAAGTAGCAAAGGAAAAAATCAGATAAAGGCAGGGAGCCAAAAATATAAAAGTATTATTTGCGGATGATAAGTTTATATGAGTAGGGGAATTGAGGGACAATTAGAACTATTAACAAATTTTAGCAAAGTTGCTCAGAAAAAAATATTTTATAAAAAAATCACAAGTAAATAAAAGTATAAGGCTAGTATAGAAAAAAGTTTTATCATACTAAATATATTAAATACCATAAAAAGTGAATAAATAAAAGGAGATACCCTGCTCCTGGATGTAAAACTTCAGGTTATGGAGGTGCCAGTATTCAGACGGAAACTCAATATCAAGTGTCATGCTTAGGGTCTGAAAAGGCCCCCAAAGTCCCGTGTTGAAGTGCTGGTCCCCACCCATGCTCCTGTGATGGGTGGGTAGAGGTGGGACTTAGTGGGAGGCAGGAGGTCACTGGGAGCATGCCCTGGACCCTATGCCCTGTCTGTTTCTCTCTCTGCTACAAAATGCTGGGTTGTTAGTGTGTGGCTCGACCTGGAACTGCTGCCAGTGTTCTGCCTAAAACAGTGGGTGAGCAACACAGACTGACACTTCAGAAACCAAGAACCAAAATAAACCTTTCCTCCTCTTAAGTCGACTTTCTCAGGTATTTCAATACAGTAATGCAAGCTAACAGATCTGTTAATTAAATGAATTTGAAAATGAAAAGCCAAAAAAAAAAAGGGGGGGGGGATCACCCTACCCCAGATCAGTGTGCAAAAACATAGTGATTAAAACAATGTGGTACTTGTAGAGGAACAGTGGACCAATGGAGTGAAAACCAAGTCCAGGAACACGGGAGCACATCCAGGAAGCTGGTTTTGAGTGAAACATCTTTACAAATCAGGAAAAGACTTTTGTTGTTGTTATGTGATGGTGGAAGACTGCTCTAGTAGAAGCATAGAGGGAGAGTAATAAAATCATATCCCCATCTCACCCTTTTTAAAAATTCCAAAAATAATTAAGAATTTAATTTAAAGATAAAGTCTTAGGATAGCTGAGAATTTGGAGTGGGAAAGATTTGTTTAGCAAGGGGCTGGGGGTTTAGCTCAGCGGCATAAGCACCTGCCTTGCAAGCAGACAGTCATGAGTTCGATCCCCGATACTGATTTAAAAAAAAAAAAAAAAAAGATTTGTTTAGCAAGATGATAAAAAAAGAGACCAATCTTGCTGGAAACTCACACTGACCATTCTGACTGTGTCAACCCAGGAAAATACTAGTGGTGAGAAGTTACTTTTAAGTTTTAGTCTCTGTGATGTCCTTCCTGCTCCACACTTACCAGGGGCAGTCACAAGAATGTGGTCAGGTCTTGTGTGTTACCTCACTGGGGTGAAAACAGGCATTGAGATTTGGGCAGAGGGAGGACCACACGTACCTGTGGCAGAACAAGGAGCCCTGAAAATTTCTTACTTGAATTGCTTCTCTTTTAGGGGTTCAGACTTGTCTATGGAGGCTCTTCCTGGTGAGGAGTGTCTAATACACAGGTACAGGAAATCGAGGGAGACCACAAAAACACAGAAGCAGTCAGGCCTGATTGTTTGCTGCTGCCTACACTTTCAGGGTAACCATGGGTCACACTAATGCAAGAGATGGCTGGTCCTTGGTTCCTCACAGCCAGTCTTGACCGAGCTCCAGAATCATGCCAGGAGCTCATTAAAAATAAATCACAGGGCCTCACCCCGATACGCTCTGATTCAAGAGGCGTGAGGCGAGCAGCTCAGGAATCTTCATCTGACCCAGAGGTGGCCAGGGCTGGACCTGCCACGCTGGATCACCTTTCCAGGACCAGAGTCAGAGCCACTCAGTCCCTAAAGATGCAGAACTGCCTGGGCCGGGGTGTCCATGGGTACACAGCTGAGATGTGCCTGGGCAGGATGGGAAGTGCTGTGGTTTTGGAGGGAAGGAGGAGGCCAGCCCAGCCAGCAGCTCAGGCAGGGAAGGAGACGGGCCCTGAGGTTCCTACTGGAATCAGACTCTTCTCGAGATGTTCACTTCCCCAGCTTTGGTCCTGATCCTGTGGGACAGCTTCTGTCCCCCCCATCTGCCGCCTCCACCAGCCTGGGAGCTGCTTGAGGACAAGAATCTGGCATTCATTTAGTCATATACTCATTTATTCCATGGGTGTGCAGAAATTCCTGTGCAAGGAGCAGGCTGTGACAGGGCACAAGGGCCAGTTAGCCCTCTGAGTGCTCCCAGTCTAGAAGGGAAGGAAGCAGTGACACCAGGAGGTCTGATGAGGTGTATGGAGCACTGTGATTGGGCCCCATCAGACACCCAAGGATACCTGTCTCTGGGAGATCTAGAGAGGCTCCTTGGAAGGAGTGAGGTTCGAGTGAAGCGGTGAGAGGGGAAGAGGGAAGACTGTTTCACATCCAGGGAATGGCTTGGGCAAGTCCTTGGTGGCAGTGGGAATGGTCCTGAGGAAGCTCTGGGGGATGAAGCCCTCTCCAGGCCTGTGTGCAGGAGTTGCTGCTGCAGCCAGGGAGCAATGGAAGGTTCTTGCCTTCCACTTTCCGGGCTTCCACCTTGGGACCTGGCCCAGGGTGCTGGAGAGAATATGTGGTGATGGTATCTCCTCCTGCCTGGAAGGACTGGCTGACCTGGGCTCATGCCTGCTCCCCCCTGTATTCCTTCCCCCATTGCTCCCCTTCCTTCCAGTGGCCTGGGCCAGCTCCCCATCAAGGAACCAGGCAGGGCTTTCCTTTAGCATCTGGAATGTTAACTTCTGAGTGAAGGGTACAGCTCAGCGGCACAGCGGCCTGCCTGGGAAGCACAAGGTTGTGAGTTTGACCCCAGTGCAGCACACACACACATACATGCATGCATATAGCATGCAGCTAGCCAACTGCCTGGCACCTGGTGGTGTATGCAGGAGATGTGTGACCTGCATAGACGTGTGTGCCCAGGCCCTGGATGTGTCACTAGGCCCCGGATGAGGGGGGCAGGTTCGTTCTCCTAGGTGGTTCCAGGCCGTGGTCAGTATGATCTCAAGCTGGCCCCATGCTCAGAGGATTGCCACGAGCATTATCATTGCCACCTTTTACTTTATTGACCTTTGTTTTGTGCCAGGCACCCTGCATGCCCACTCCTATGTCACTCATCCTCCCCATAAAATCTTCAAGGGGGAGAAGCTTAGCATACTGATATGGAGCCTGGGATGCCTACAAGGGGTGAGCACTCAGAAACTTGTTATGAAAGGACTATGGCACACACCAGCCTCGCCTCTCCTGCAGGGCTCACCCAGCAGAGGTGGTTAGGGATTGTGACCTAGAGGAAGGTGCCTGACTAGCAGCCCCTCCAGAAGGGGTTAGACTTGGATGGGGCTCCTGGGAGCCAGGGTAGGGAAAGGAGGGAGGGGCTCCAGAGGCACCCTCCCCCCAATCCGGTTGCCATTGAGAACATTCACCCATTAAAGATAATCACCAATAGGAGGTGATATTTCCTAATCTTTTCTTTCTACTTAACTAATTTTTGCACTTAACGTAGTTCTCTATTGAAACTATTACTTGTATCATTAAAATGACTAAGAGGATGAAATTTACAAGGAAGAAACCTAGGTGTCCTGGGAGGGTCCAGTGCTTTGGCAGGGAAAGCGGGGCTTATTTGCATATGCAAAAAAGCAGAAGACAGCCTTCTCCCTTTCCCCTTTTGACCTCGTACAGCAGGGGGCCAAGGGGCAGGTCAAAAGTGCAGGGAGTGACATACACCACCCCCCTTCAAGTCAAGGCAGGCCGGGGAACTGCCCACACATGTGCCTTTCAGCTTGGGAGCAGGCCTGTGCTGTGCAGTCCATGCCCGCTGCTGCTTGCTACCTGCCCCACTAAAGGTGCACTCCTGCAGGGCAGGGATGGTTGAATCTCTGGGGGCCCAGGGGTTGCCTTTGTGGGGGGCAGGTGAGGAGGTGCCCACGGGGTGGGGTGGGCGTGAACCAGACTCTCCAGGCTGCTTGCTTGGTTCCCAGGGGCTTGTGGCTGTATCTAAATCCCTCTTGCCCTTCTGTTCCTAGATCCACTTTCCAGATGTGGAGCGAGTGGAGTGGGCCAACAAGGTAAGGCCTCAGGCGACCTCTGGCAGGTACAGACCTCAGCCTTGCTGAGCCTCGGCCCATGGGTCATCAGCAGCAGCCGCCAGCGTATCTGTGACTCAGGCCAGGATCCTCAGTCCCTGCAGTGCCCATGCCGGGAAGGAGGAGAAGGGAGGGCCCTCCACTGCAGGGTGGGGGGCAGCTTCACCCTCCCTTTGTTCACCAGATGGCTTTCTTTCCTTTAAAAAAAAAAAATATATATATATATATATATATATATGCACACAGAAGACAGATTAGAAAATAGAAGTACTGTATAAAGAACAACCCTGCCCATACCTGTGAAGGCTCCAACCAAAATCAACACCTTCCTAGCGGGAGGAAGACCCTAACTAGACAACAACTCTGGCTTCCACCTGGTTCCCAGCCCAGATGTTAACTACCACTGGCTGTGCAGCCTCTGGCAGTCTGCTTGATATCTTTGAGCTGGTTTCCTTTTCCATAAAATGGGAGAAATCCCAGGTCCTGGTACATGGTGAACACAGAGGTTGTTAATAGCCGTTGTTATCCTCCAGGGGATAACACCAGTGAGATCTGCCACCAGATGCCCAGAAGGGGGCTCTCCCCCAGCATGAACCCCTACTTCACAGATGAGAAACCTGAGTCCTAGCTCTGCTTGCCCTGCCCATACCTGTGAAGGCTCCCCACCAACAGGCTCATGGCTTGGGACTTGCCTGCCTTCCTTCCTCTGCTTAGCCCATAGCAGGAAAGACCTGACAGATGTCAGTCTCAAGTTGGTACCTCACATTCCCAGAAATGTAAGCAAATACTTCTGAAACTTGCCCTAGCCTCTGGGCAAAATGTGGAGGAAGGAGGTTGCTGCTTTAGGAGCTGTGCCCAGGCCTCCATGTATCTACGGAGAGTCTCAGGCCTCTAGGGCAAACCCTGTAGAGTTCCTCCTGAGTGGCCAGTACAGGCCACTGCTCCTGTTCCGCCTTCCCCAAGCAGCACAGAAGCACACAGGAAGCTCTGAGGAGGGATCTTTTGGGAATCAAACCCCACCTTTGCTTGGACAGAGACATTGAACAGGCGTTTTAGACAGAGGTTGTGAAAACAGTTACAGTCAGGACACAGAATTTATAATATTATTTTATGATGGTCACCGAGTTAAACACAAAGTGCCAGAAATCTGTCCACAACACTAAAGGCCCAGAATATTCAGCCAGGGGCCTGGATCCCACAGCAATGTGCTGCATGAGTCCAGCTGAAGACCTAGAGTCCATGACAGTGCCTCCCATGAGTCCAACTGGAGGTCTAGAGCTCATGCCAGTCTGTTTTAAGAATTTGCTAGGAAGGCCCAAAGGTCAGTGGTGGAAACCAGAAAGTCTATGCCAGCAGGGTGAAGGAGCTGTGCCAGTAGGTTAAGGGTTCTATTCTGGAGCTGAGAAGTCATGCTCAAAATAAGGACCAGGGATGCCCTGAAAAGTACCACAGTTATTCTCAGTGACAAGGAGGTCCTGAGCTCATCCGATGATAAGAACAGTCGAGTACAAGCCAGGAAGCCAGGGTGACAAGCTTCTCCCTTAGAGATTAAACAGCACACATCTTCCCCTCCAGAGCCAGGAAATAATGCTCAATGTAAGGACCAGGGCTCCCCCAAAGTGAACCCCAGCCATTCTCACCAACAAGGTCCTGAGCTCCCCTGATAATGGCCAAACTCACACTGGGGAAGCTAGTCATGACAAGCTCCTCCAGGAGAACCAACAGCTCGAAACAACACTTTAGAGACTCTAACACAACACCTAGCTCTTCTCCACGTCTCTGTTTATGCTGGCAACTTTCCTCAGGTGGGCCATCTATGCCCCGCACCATGCTGATTTAATTCAGCTGGCGTTAAGTTGACCACCAGTTTTTAATCCATAACAGCTGGTGAACCACACATGCAGATGCACTCCAGAGACCCTGGGCAATGACCCTGGTGAGGCAGGAAGGTGGGCCCAGCCTCTCGAGATTTAGAACCTGCATTTTTGAAGAGGCCTTAGAAGTGAGGAGAACAATAAGCCCTGAAGTCTTGAACCCTTACGCTCTTCCAGCTATGGGTTTGGAAGACGAGAAAGGTAGAGGGAGGTGCTTCTTTAAACTGAGGCCCAAATCCATGGAGGAAAAGCAGAAGAGCCCTGCTCTCAGCCCTGCACACCCTCTGATTCCCATCATCCACCACTCCACCTAGAAGAGAAAAAGGACATGAGTGGTCAAAATGAAACTCAGATAGTCTACAGATGAGTTTAAAATGGAACAGTCTTCTTAGTTTTGACTATTGTGTACTCATGCACATGTAACAATGTTTCCATCAACAAGCACTCACGTACATAAACACAAATACCATTGTGTCACAGCAAATACAGTTGCTCACAGCGTTCAGCACAGTGACACGGTATTACAGCTGTGTAGCCTAGCAGTGGCAGGCCATGCCAGCGAGGTTTGTGTAAGTAAACTCGATATTTGCTCAGTGACAGACTCACCTAACCCTGTATCTCTCAATGCTGCCCATAGCTAAAGGACACATGACTATATTATGATTATATAAGGTGCTGATATAAAAGGGAACTGGGTCCTGCACATTCCTCGACCAGCACCATGACTCATTCTGCTACAGAAGTTGGCCCTTCTGGCTGCTGAAACATATACAGTGGACAATTTAACTTTTCTGTAACTCTTTCTTAAACCTTTGGCATCTGCTGCTTTTTATGTAAGCTGCAGTGTAGGATGAGATTATGTACCATAGGGCTTCCTATTTCTAAATTTAGTGAATGAGCATTTCCATGGTGCTCTGCGAAATGACCCCAAGCGTTGGGGTCCTAGATATTTGAGAGACAGACCGGGAGGTGGGTAGAAGGGGCATTAGGTGCTGCAGCACAGGGGCCATGGGACCCCAGCCCTGGAGGGGCTGCCAAGGCTCAGGACTGGGTGCTGGACACTTGTAGGTCTGTGATCCAGGCACAGACCTGGCCTCCAGAGGCCTCTTCCTGTTCCCTCTAGATCATTGTCCAGATTTGGCCCTACCTGACCATGATCATGGAGAACAAGATTCGGGAGAAACTGGAACCCAAGATCCGGGAGAAGAGCTCTTACCTGAGGACCTTCACCTTCACCAAGCTCTACTTTGGGCAGAAGGTCAGTGCTGCCTTGGAAAGGGCAGCCCGGGCTTGCTGTGCAGCCTCCTTTCTGTTGCCGCCTCCTTACCTAAGGCAGTCACCTATCGGCAAGGATCTCACTGGCCCTCAGAGGGGCACGACCTCCTCGTCCTCCGAACTTCCCAGCTCAGGTGCACTGCCCTTGCCTGTTGACCCCACAGCACCTGATCTCTCCAGGGTCCCAGGAGCCTGAGTCAGGGCTAGAAAGGAGAGGTGGCAACCAGTTCCTCTCTTCTGAAGTAAAATCTTGAAAACAGGCCACATTGATAGCCAGACAGATGTTTCTCCACAGATAGAGTTGCTGATTGCGGTTTTCAGCTGGACAAGTCCCCTTCATGATTTGTGATAGTACCATAAAGCAGTTTAGAATTATCTGAAGGGTTCTGGCAGTCAGTTCTGTGAAAACTAGTGGATATCCCCAGAGAAAATGGTCCATGGCCAAAGAAACCTGTGTCCAGCATACTTAATATCATGGTCCTCTTCCAGAGTGAGCTTGATATTTTGCCTTTTGTGCCCTACTCCTTTGACTCTGATGTGCTTACTGATCTCTCATTTTGATCATCCGGAATACATCCCCAGGCATTTGATGACATCCACTGCTCAGTAAGGCAGAGGCGTTCTCCTGCAGGATGCCCTGGAACAAGCAGGAGTCAGAGTGCAGGCCAGCCTGCTGGGAGCCACCACCACCCTGTCTGGCAGCCCCATAGGTGGGGTGGATTAGCCATGCCTCAGCCATGGAGAGGGTGGGTTGTGCCACTCAGACTTGGCCGGGACTGATTAGGCCCAGCATCTGTCGGTCACCTATTGTCTCCTGGTCTCAGTCACATATGACCTACTGAACACGTGCTGTGCATTAGGCACCATAGACTGACTCAAGTGTGCTGTGCCCTGCTTCAGGAAGTAGACGCACAAACTGTTGAAACATGGAGGTGCATGAGTTCAGGAGTTGGAGATATGTATCAGGGGTATTAGTCAGGGAAGACTTCCTGGAGGAAGTGATATCTCAGTTGGCTTTTGAAGAATTCCGTAGGCAAACAGCCAGGAAGCCTGCAGACTGCTGTGCTTAGAGCAGAGCCAGCTCAGCCAGCCACTCCTCTTCCGGTAGTGTCTGGGGGATGTGGCGTCCATGGCAAGTGATCATCAGGAATGGTTTTTACCATGTCCAGAGAAACTGAAGGCTGCAGGCTGGACACTGGTCTAGTCCTGCAGAAGAAAAGCCCCTGCCTGGCCTTGTAAGTCCTTCTTGTCCTCCCTGCCCACCTCCTTCCCACTTCTCATCTTCCCATCTCTCTGCTTCATCCTGGACTTGCAGAAAACTCGCAGACCCCTGCAGCCTCGGCCGGTGCCCAGTGCACTTGCGGCACCCATGAGTGCTCCGGTGCCCTCTGCAGTGGTGACTGGGTCAGCACTTAGCCTTGCTGAGTGCCAGTTTCCTCATGTGAAAAATATATTTTATTGTTACCTGTAAGTTTTACACCATGCTGTGTTTCACTGTGAGTTTTCATTTACACATGTACCACACTGTGTGTATTTTGGTCATATCCATAGCTGTTACCCTCTCTTAAGTTCTTGTCTCAGAGGAGTCTTCCTGCTACTTTCATGGCATCTTTTTTTTTTTTTCTTTTTAAAATCCCACATTTTAGGGAATACATGCAATTTTTGTCTGTGAGTCTGTCTTCTTTGGCTTAACATAATGATCTCTAGTTCTGTCCATTTTCCTGCAAATAATGTGATTTGTTCTTTTGCACAGCCGAGTAATGCTCAGATTTCTTTATTGATTCATATGTTGAAGGCCCCTCGGCTGGTTCTGTATTTGGCGACTGGTGTGGTTTGTACTTCGATAAACATGGGTATGCAGGTGGCCCAATAATGTGCCTAAAATCCTTCGGGCACATACCAAGGGGTAAGATAGCTAGATCATATGGTAGTTATATTTTTAGTTTTTTGAGGAACTCCGTACTTATCTCCATAGTGACAGTACTAATTTACATTTCCACTAGCAGCAAAAAAGGTCCCCCCCCATTCCCAGCCTTCCCAGAATTTACTGTTTTTTGTGTTCTTGATGATGGCCATTCTGATTGGAGACGAATCCCAGTGTAGGTTTGATTTGCATTCCTCTAATGGTTAAAGGTACTGAACATTTTTATGTACTAGTTGACTATTCTTTTGAGAAGTGTCTATTCAATTCATTTGCCGTTTAATGATTGGGCTATTTGGGTGTCTGTCTTTCTTTCTTTTTTTAGCTCTTTATATATTCTAAATATTGACCCTCTGTCTGAAGAGTGGCTGAAAAGATCTTTCCCTGTTTTCTAGGATGCCTGTTCACTGTTGTTTCTCTTGCAGCACAGAAACTGTTACTTCTGTACAGTTTCATTTGTTGGTTCTGGTTGTTTTCTGTGGGGCTGGAGTTCTCTTCAGGAAGCCTTTCCTGTGTCTCTCATGAGGAACAACCCTGCCCCACTTTGATTGTGCCCAACAGACAGACTGTTTCGAGGACTGGGAACAGCCAGAGTGAGACATTTTAGTTTTCCAGGTCTTGCAAGAACCGGGTGCTGGCCTAAGAAACATGGCTGTTTTTATTTTCTAATTTTTTTATTTTGAAGAAGTAAAAGTACAACAGAACAAGACAGAACAAAGGCAATTGAGACAATGTGGTGAAATCTGTAAGAACTTCAGAGCAGTTTACCAGGATAACAGTAATAGGTACCATAGTATATTTCATTATCTTCACAATAGTTGTCTAGCCAATTAGGTATAGCAAAATCAAAGCAAAAACAACATTATAAAACCAATCAAAAGAGAACATTGAATAGAGTAAAACAATTAATCATAATGAATCAAAACAGTGAAGACAACATTTGCTTTCAAACGGAAGATAGAAGGAAATCCCCTTTTTTGCCATATTGCATACAGTCAATCCTCCCGAGAGATGCTCAGACCTGTGTCCCCAGATGGTAGTGGTGAGGGGTAGGCTCACAGGAGATGCTGACTGGGTGGTCTCCTGGCTCATGCCGGAGAGAGGCGGTTACCAAGAGGGCAGACGAATTGCTTTTTGTGCAGCCGCCTGCCTTCCACCATGACAGTGGCCGATTCTGGTGGGGGTGTGTGTGTGACTGGTTCTCCTGGCTCACGCTGGAGGGAGCTGTTTTACTGTTTAAAATAAAAAATAAAATAAAATAGTACTTTCTAAAAAAAGCAAATGATTAAGCTACAGGAGGTAGCCTGTTAACTGCCAGTGTTTTCCTATCAGAGTTAGCATAGTGGATTCCACATTTGATTGTTTACCCTCCCTCCTCTGTTTAGAGACCCTGTCAGATGCTTGACCTTAGTCACATCCTCAGGCCACCTGACCTTTTCCTGGAACAGACGGCTTTACATATTTGTTTCTTACACCTGTTATTTCAAGTATTTCCACTTGTTTGATGTTTTCCTTTTTCTTTTTTCGAACTGGGGATCAAACTCATGACTGTGCTTATAAGGCAGGCACTTATGCTGCTGAGCTAAATCCCCAGCTCCTATTAGATGTTTTCATCAAACATGTCTAGCAGGTTCAAAGTTTCAGGCCCCATACTCAGGTCTTTGACCCATTTGAATTGATTTTTATTTGGGGTAAGAGATGAGAACTAGTTTCAGTCTTCCACATGTGGATATATCTAGTTTGCCAGCACACTTGCTGAAGAGGCTGTCTTTTCTCCAGCATATATTTTTGGTTCCTTGGTCTAGAATCTGATGGCTGCAGTCACATGGGCTCGTCTGTGTGCTCTCCATTCTGTTCATTGGTCTGCACGTCTGTTCTCGTGCCAGCATCATCTTGGCTTTGTTGCTATGACTGAGTGTAATTTGGAGTCAGGTGTTGTGGTGCCTCCCTCTGCCCTACCCATTTTGCTTAGGAGTGTTGTGGCTATTTTGGATCTTTTGTGTTTCCATGCAAATTTGAGAGACAGACAGATAGAGGGGGGGAGAGAGAGAAAGAGAGAGAGAGACAGTGTGTGTGTTTCTAGGTCTGGGAAGAAAGTTGGAATTTTGCTAGGGATTGCATGGAAGCTGTAGATGGCTTTCAATCAATCCATGAACATGCAAGATTTTTCCGCCTTCTCCATCCTCTTCAGTTTGTTCCTCCACTGTGTTATAATTTTTACCGTAGAGGTCTTTCACTTCTTGGGCTACACTGATTGCTAGGGGTTTTGTTTTGTTTTAGCTGTTGTGAATAGAATTGTTTTCTCAGTTCGCTGCTCAGTTGGTTCACTCTTGGTGTATAGAAAAACTATTGATTTTTTTAATGTTGATTTTTTGTATCCTGCTACTTTTACTGAATTTGATTACCTCGCTAAAATTCTTTCTTGTTCGAGTCTTTTAGGATCTTCAAATACAGCATCCTATCATGTACAACTAAGAATAATTTGACTTCTTCCTTTCTTCTTTGTATCTGAAAGGACCCCCTTTTGAAGGGTGCTCTGAGGCCCAAGCAGCTCGGCCTCAGGGTGGCTTGAGACTGTAGTGCCCTGCACTGTAGAGGGCAGATTCTTGCCTGGTGCCCTTTGCCCTGCTGTGAGCCCAGGCCAATGCCACCCTGCCTGGCACGCAGTGGATGCTTAAAGGAGGTCATCCTTCCTCTCTGTGGTAGCAGCCTCCAGGCAGGCAGTCTTCTCTGGAATCTGTCCCTGTAAATAAGGGTCTAGGTGCTCACCCGCTTTTATGGTTGCTGCTCCCACCCGTTATTTGCAGTGCACCCCCTCCAGCCAGGCTTCCAGGGGGATCCCTCTGAAGCTTCTACAATCTAGGGACTGTCTTTAAAAAAAGAATATAAAATTAGCTGGGCTTGGTGACACATTCCTATAATGCTAGCCCTCTGGGAGGCTGAGGCAGGAGGATCACTTCAGGCAATTTAGCCATATTCTGTCATAAAACAAACAGCTTGAGGATACAGCCAAATATGAAGAGCCTGGGCTCAATCACCAATAAGTAAATAGTAAAAATGCAAAATCAGAACAAAATAAACGTTAAATATAAAAAGCTCTATGTGGTGGCACATACTTGTAACCCCAGCACTCTGGGAGACTGAAGCTGGAGGATCACAAATCTGAGCCCAGTCTGGGCAATTTAGCATCTCAGTCAAACTCTGGCTCAAAAATAAACAATAAAAACTGGGCTGGGGATGTAGCTCAGAGGGTTTAATACCCTGTATTGACACAAAACAAAACACAACAAATAATGAGAAACAACTTTAAAAGGTTGTTGTATCACTCATATTACAGATTATGGGAAAACTACATGATATTATTAATTAACTGTTGAACATGTCCTTGTAATACTTTTTTTTTTTTTTTTTGCATTTTTGGTTCCACACTCTGAGAACCTTTTCTTTTTTACACTTTTTTTTTGGTCTTTTTCCTTTTGATCGGTACCAGGGATCGAACTCACGACTGCCTGCTTGCAAGGCAGGCGCTTATGCCACTGAGCTAAAATCCCCAGCCCCTCTGAGAACCTTTTCATGGGACAGTACATTTGTAAATAACAGTTTCTATAGCGTAAATGGAAAGTGCATGAAATCTTCCCTCTAGCAGGATTGATTAAATCTTTCTAAATTTTACTATGGAAAATTTTAAACACACAAAAAGTTGAATTACTACAGCAAACATCTTATACCTACTGTCTGAACTATAGCAGTGTTAGCTTATTGCTATATTTGATTTATTACAGTCATGCTTCTCTCTAGTCATCTTTTTTAAAAAATGCATTTCAAACTATATAGCAGACATCAGTGAACTACACCTCTAACCACTGCCTCTCAACGTGCATATCATTAACCCAGATTCAAATAATGTTATTATTGTGATGCTGAGGATTAGAGGGTTAAACTCAAGGCCTTTGCACTGAGCCATATCCCCAGCCCTTTAAAAAAATTTTTTTTTTTATCTTCAGACAGGGTCCTGTCAAATTGCTAAACTGTCGAGGATGGGCTTTGACTTTCGATCTGCCTGCCTCTGCCTCCCCAGTGCTGGGACTGCAGATGTGTGGCGCCCTATCTGACTTGAAATTTGGTTTTTATCTCTGATCAGTAATAATCAGATCCCTGCTGGGAAAAGAGGAATCTGGGCAGAGGGGGACAGTTACCAGGAAAATGGCTGGCTGTCGGCCCAGAGCCTGGAACTATTGCTCCAGCCACGGGACCTTGAATCCTGGGGATCAGACTCCTCAGCCGGGACCCTGCCCTCTTGCCTTACCCTTGTGGGGCCAAGCCGTACTCATCTGCCAGACTTGCTGTAATCGCTTTCCCCTCTAGGAACCTTCACTAAACCCATCTAGGCTGGGCTGGGAGATGTCCCTGAAGTCCCTGATCCCCTGGGATAACATGGGCTGCTCCTCCTTGTACCCCCAGCCCACTTTTCTCTGAATGGTCGCCATCACTCCTTGCCTTCTCTCCAGGCTGCACAGAGGCAGGTGTGCCCCACAGATGGCTGTGGCAGGAAGGGAGAGAAAGGAGGGGTCTGCTCAAGGGAGGGGCAGCACAGGGGCTCAGGGTGAGTTTCCTTGTGTGCTTCAGCCTAGAGGATATCGGTCATGCTGACTGTTGTGACAAGGCCCAGTGCTGGCTGAGGGCTGGGGCCCCCACTGCCATGAGAACCTGCTGACCTGGCCCTCCCCTCATCTCTTCCAGTGTCCCAGGGTGAACGGAGTCAAGGCCCACACTAACAAAAGCAACCCGAGACAGGTGACCCTGGACCTACAGATATGGTGAGCCTCCGTCCCAGGGTCTAGTGGGGCCAAGTATGCATTGAGAGGCAGGACTGCTCTGGAAGAACTGGTGTGGAGACAGTGATTTAGGGTATAGATTCCCTCCCAGACCCAGGACCCCATCCAGGCTGGAGCGCTAGGGCCTGGCTGGAGCTGGGGGAGCGGTGTCAGGAGAATAGATGGGGAGTGACCGGTCCCAAGGAAGCCACCCTGGCCCACTCCTGGCTTTTTTTTTTTTTTTTTTAACCCCATGGCAGCTGTGGATTCTAAGGGCTCAGCAGCAGAACCTTGTTGGAAACCAAGCCTGGATCACCTGGAGAGTCAGACTAGCTGCCACAATAAGGATGTGGCTAGAGGGAAAAGTGTGACAGGAGCAGGAGGGGACTCAGGTCAGGCTCGGGGCTCTGTGGCACGACAGGAAAGTGACAAGGAGCCAGGACACAGGCATGGCTAATTCAGTGGGTTTGAGAAAGGGCTCTTTGAAATGCGATTTATAAGGGGCTTATGTCAGGAAGAAGATTCCATCCAGAAATTTCCCTGGAGGTGTGAGGTTGGAATTGTGCTCCAAAGGTAGGGTTTACTCCTGAGGGTCCAGAGTGCTGCTGTCCCCTCTGGTGTCTCCTGTTTCCTGTCTTGACCCAGTGCTATCCTTAGCTGGTATTGAAAGCACACTGGGGAGGAAGGAGCCAGTTATGGGACCACCGTGTCCTGTTCAGGCGGGGGCTGGTGCCAGGCAACCAGGTGCTCCTGGCTGTGAGGCTTAGCTGTGTGAATAGCAGGGCACGTGGGGTCACCTGGCCCACTCAGTGCCTACAACAGTGCCTGCAGTCGCTTCTGCGCATCCTGCCTGCCCCGACTGAAGGGTAGCTTGGGCTTGCTGTGATTTGTGACATCGGGCACCTCTGCCCATGTCCTGCAACGTATGATGGCTGCCTTCTCCCTCTACTTAGACTTCTCCTTCAGCTCCCTGCTCTTCACCCTCCCTGGCTTCCTGGGCCTAGCAACTGAAAGGAGCCACAAGTCAGGCTTCCTTTCTTGCAGCCTAAGAACTTGTTACCTTTGCCTACCTCTACCACCCCCAGCAAAACCTGGGGTGACGGCTGGATCTAGGCAATGGGACTGCCACTGTGTCCTCAGGGTGGATGCCTGGGCAGAGACCGAGCAGGGATGCAGCGTAGTTACCAAGTGCCCCTCCTTCTCAGCTGTGGGTGACATGGGGTGAGAGCCCCCAGTCACTGCCCTTCTGACCCCACGTCAGACTGTCTTGCCAGGATTCCAGGTGCAGGAGCCTGGGTGGTTGCTTCTTGGGTCTGAGCCTGAGCAGAGCTGAACAATGTTGAGGCTGTTGGTGTAGCCACATGCTGACTGACACAATTCAGGCTCGTGGTCAGCAGCCAGGACTGGGGCTATATGTACACACTGGGCAAGTTTCCTGCCCTCTCTAAGCAGTGGACCTGCCTGTCTCTCCCCCAACATCCCCATGTCAGCTACATCGGAGACTGTGAGATCAGTGTGGAGCTGCAGAAGATTCATGCTGGTGTGAATGGCATCCAGGTGGGTGAAACGCAGCCCCTGGTCTGGGCTCAGGGAAGGGGGAGCCAGCTTTTGCTGGAGCAGCAGCAAAGGTGGTGATGACACTGCACAGGGGCTGGTCACATGGCAAGGAGGTGGTGTTGGGCTTCATCAATTGCTACTCTGCCTCAGGGCCCACAGTCTGCCTCTGTTTGCAAAGACTCTTTACTGCTGGGGGAGATGAGGCTGTTTCTAGAGTGACAGAGTCTTTCTGTAAAACCCAGGAGGTTAAAATGACCTGTATTGGGCTGGAAATCTGTTCTGGGTGACCTCTGCCTGGGTCAGCCAGTTCACGGCCCACTGTGGCTGGCAGCAGGGTCCCAGCTGTGTCCCCGTTCCTGTGCACTGGGTAGGCTCCCGGTGGTGACAGCAGGTGGGCTGGGGCGGATGGTCCTGACACTCAGGGAGGGTGTGGCAGGGGACAAGGCAGCGGTGGCCTTCACTGAGCATAGCAGAAGGGAAGGAGCCTGAGTTCCTCATACATTCTTGTATCTGTCTAGTTGCAGGGCACCCTGCGGATCATCCTGGAGCCTTTGTTGGTGGACAAGCCCTTTGTGGGGGCTGTGACTGTATTCTTCCTTCAAAAGCCGGTGAGTCCCAGAGCGGGGGTAGGCTGGCCGTTCCCTGTGAGCAGGCATTGCCCACTGGGCCTTGTACCCTGGAATTGAGCCCAAGCACAGACTGCCTCAGCCCCCAGTGGCCTCCTCACCTCAGCTTGAGGAGTTAAGACTCAAGATGAGGACTTCCCCATGATGAAGAAGCCACGTTCAGAGGGACTCATGGGTGGGCTGAACTGTTGCTGAGACAAACTTTAAGCTAATTAAAAATCTAGCCCAGAGAGGAGGGGGCCATGTGGGCAGGCCCCCTCCTCTCATGGTCCTGGCAGGAAGCAGTGGCCTGACCTCATGCCCATCCTGAGCGAAGACCTGGGTGCTCCACAGCCCAGAGGCCTGAGAGCCAGGCCAGGAAGTATCCTTAGCTACCTGATATTCTGAAAGGATGCCCCCGACACCCTGCCCAGCACCATTCTCTGTTTGGGTGGTACGAGTATCTGAGCTCTGGGCTCCCAGCTCTTTCCAGCTTCATAGCCTCTCTCTCCCCTGGTAGCACCTGCAGATCAACTGGACAGGCCTGACCAACCTGCTGGATGCACCAGGAATCAAGTAAGTGCTAAGACTTCCAGAATTCAAGTGTGGGCCCCTCAGGGCCCTGCGGTCAGTGCCAGGAGCTACTCTGAGCTTAGGGAAGAGGGCAGCAGAGGTGGCAGCAGCAGAGGAAAAATTCTTCAGGTATTTGGAGTGTGGGCTGAGGTGGGCGGCTAAGAGGGTCATGCAGCCTCTGGGAGCAGGTCTTGGCCCAGTATGTGCACACGTGTACTATACACATAGACACACACGAATACACACTGTGGGGAAGAAGTGCTTTGATCAATGTTGGGCTGAGGGATAGCGGGCCCCTGTGCTGGGCAGGGGAAAGGGATAGTGGCTCTGATCAGATGAGAAGTCCTGGAGGAGGCCGTGTGGACTAATGAAGCCACAGCCTCAGCCAGCTCCTGCTCTGTCACTTAGCTAATATGTGACTGTGGACAAGTCACTTTACCTCTCTGGGCCCTTCCTCAGTAAACAGGAGCCTAAGGGCTCTGTCTGGTAGTCCCTGGAAGAACGCCCAGCTGTGCATGGGGGGAGATCCCTGGATCTGGACACATGCAAATGGCCCCCTTCATCCCAACCCCTCCCTCCCCCACTAGCCCAAGTACGTGGGGGGCAGCCCAGGTGACCGTGATGGCTGCAAACATAGGCGACAGTGTCACAGCAGTAGCCTGAAGGAAAAGCTGCCTTCCAAGGCCACTTTCCTGGAGCCAGGGGCTCAGAGGAGGATTCCAGCCCCACCAGCCACCCCTGCCCCAGAGGGAGGGACAGCTGGACTGGCCAGATGGATGCCAGTTCTCTTGCCACATACTCAAGCAGTCATTTCAGGTCTCCCCACAGATCTTCCTATTCTGGGTGAAGAGAATCTAGTTGTGCATTCTCCCTTTCAAAAACGTATTTCTTGAGTACTTACTGTGTTCCAGTCCTGCCTATCCCCTGTCCCTCCTTCCCTGCACTGGGGGAGAGGGCAGCAGGTAAGAGAGTATCAGTGTGACACCAAAGAGCAGGAGCACAATGGCCAACTCTCGGGAACTCTGCCTGAGAAAGAGGCACTGTTCTCAGTGCTTTTATCACTTCCTGGTGAGAACAGCCAGGAGGCAGGCATTGATTGTCATCCTCACTGTTAGCTGAGAGACTAGCTCCCAAAGGTCGGGGACGGAGCTGAGATTCCAGCCCAGGCTGTAGCATCTGCTGGTGGCTGTCCTGCTGTGTTGCCTCAGTGCAGCAGACTGGGGCAGAGGGGTTTGGAGCATAAGTGAGGGCACAGCTTATTGGGCAGAGTGTCAGGGCCTGTCAATCAGTGTACTCACCTCCCTCCCAACCCAGGCTGGATGGGTGATGGCTGCCTATAGGTGGGAACCCCGCGAAGCAGGGCCCTTGGTTCCAGCACCGAGGGGGATGGGCAGGTGGCATGGGGAAGCAGAGTCACCCTTCCACAGCTGGTCATGCCCGGTATCCCAGTGAGGTGTCAGATGGCCTGCTGGAGGACCTCATTGCTGCCCACCTGGTGCTGCCCAACCGCATGACCGTGCCTGTGAAGAAGGGTCTGGACGTGACCAACCTGCGCTTCCCTCTGCCCTGTGTGAGTGCCCAGTGCCTGCTGCAGGGCCCAGGCCCCAGGGTGCGGGGGCTGGTGGTGGGGGAGTCCCTGAAAAGCATTCAGTGCTACGCTTAGTCCTGCCTTGTGGAGACGGTGGAGTCTGAGGCTGAGAGCTGGATTGACTTGCCCGAAGCCACCCATCTAAGGAAGGGGAGGACCAGCCGCATTCTTTCCTGTGCTCCTGGTCCCCCATGCTGCTTGTGTGGGGGCTGTAGGCACTTGCAACCAGGAAACATAGAGTCCCCTTCCTCTCCTCAGGGAGGATCTCTTACCTCTGTCACCGTGGGGTTTGCTGAGGAAGATTCTGGCTAATTCCAGACTGGTCCACTGTTCCTCATGTCCTATGGCCCTGGCTGTGGGAAGAGCCGGGAGTCAGGACCCCAGGGTGGGCAAGTGCCCAGTTTTGCCTGTGGCAGCAGGTGTGAAGCACCCCCTTTTGTTCCCACTCAGTCGGCTGCACAGTCCTGCAGAGGCAGGGCCCTGGAGGCCAGGCTGGCAGGGGAGCATCCTCACACCATCCTCGCAGCCTTCCCACTGGCATGCACTGGCTTTAACTCACACTGCGTGCCCGACAGCCCCAGATTGTCAGTACAACACCGCCACCCATGCCACAGTTACCAGAAACATTCTGTCCTTAGCATGTATCCTACATACTGTCAACTTGCTGCAGTCTGAATGCATCTAGGATAGTGTGTGTTTGTGTGTGTGTGTGAGTGTGTGAGAGAGAGAGTCAGAGAGAGACAAACCACAAATACTGACATTGATTTGTTTCATTTCTGTTTTTAGGGTTTATTTTTTTTACCTTGACTTCCTTTTATAGTTGTGCTTATTTTATGTAAGTACAATAAATATAAAAAATAAATTAGGAGCCAGGTGTGGTGGCGCATGCCTGTAATCCCAGCACTTGGGAGGCTGAAGCAGGAGGATTGTGTGTTTGAGGCCAGCCTAGGTCACAAAGTGAGTTCAAGACCAACCTGAACCGCATAGTGTCTCAAAAAGACAAAACAAACAAACAAAAACCCCAAATTATATTTTAAGGAGCTTGACTTGTACCTCTTGTTTTTCCTGCCTGATCCCCACCTTTCCCCTGAATGGTTTATTCTCCCGTTATTTTACATTCTTCTTAGTAAGACCAGACACATGTATGTGGTCCTAAGTACACATATGTGTCCCCATTTCTTTGGTAGTAGAATAGGCTGCAGCACTCCTGCCATGGGAGTGGACAGACTCCAAGCTCACCTGGCGCCCACCTATGGACAGCTAGTTGTACCTAGTCTTTTGCCATTACAGTGTCATGATTAGCCTATGCATGTGTCTTTTTATATTTCTGTCAGTTTGCCTCAGGGGTATATTTTCATAGGTGATTTTGTAGTCAAAAGACAAATGCATGTATGTTTACTGGGATTTAAAAAACTGTCCTAAGATGGAGGCATCACCCCTCTAAGCTGTTATTGTCCTAATCTTTATGTGCTGTTTTTTTTTTATTAACAGAGTCACAGTTTTTCATTTCATTAACAGTCACCTATGTGAATGAGGGAAGGGTAGCATAACAGGGTATGTGTATGTGTGGGGGTGATGCTTGATGCTGGGAGCACAGGTATCACCTCCTCAGGTGATACAGCTGGTGGCACAGGAGGGGCAAACAGCTGCAGGTGAATACAGTGGTACTTTGGTTCATGAACACTTTCATTTGCAGTTTGGTTCACAAATGGAAGTATTTGATAAAATTTTTTGTTTGCAAACTCTGCCTTGGGTGACAAACATGACTGTGGCCATCTTTCTCATGCAATCACAAACATGGCCATCTTTTCCAAAACTGTAGAACTTCAGTTTGTGAACCGAGGCACCACTGTAAGCCATTGGGGTGGCAGGATGGAGGCAGGCACGGGCTGAAACACTCTGATGCGAGGGAGACAGCCCTGGGCCCGAGGGCTGGCCTGGTCCAGCCCAGGGAGCAGCTGTGAGCCCTGGGCGGGGGCATTTTCTAGGGGGTGATCAGAGTCCACTTGCTGGAGGCTGAGAAGCTGGCCCAGAAGGACAACTTCCTGGGACTTGGATGCAAGTCAGACCCCTACGCCAAGGTGGGCATCGGCCTGCAGCACTTCCGGAGCAGGACCATCTACAAGAATCTGAATCCCACCTGGAACGAGGTATTTGAGGTGAGAGGCTCCAGGGCCTGTTCACGTGCCTCCAGGCTTCACTCAGGGGCTCACTGGGCACAGTCAAGGGAAACATGGGTACCACAGGGACTCACTGGCCAGGGGAGTGAGCCTTGGGGACAGGCAGGCAGGTCCATGCACATCCTACTTCCCTGTCACCAGGCTTCAGTGGCTGGCTGCTTTGCCACTCCCATCCCCCATTTGCATCCTGCAATCGAGCCCCTACCTTCTTTCCCCATGAGTCATCTTTGCTGGAAGTTTTCAGATCAAAGAAAAAGTCCCTCAGGCAGTTCTGTCTTACACTGTCAGCCTCAGACACTAGGGTCCGAAGTTCCTGAGTTCAGCCATGGTCCTTCCTACTTGAAGGGCGGGACCCAGAAGACCCCTCGCTTCTGTGTTCCAGGCCACCACCTAGGTGCCGTCTTCCACACTCTCCTCCCACTGTGCCATCTATGCGTTCTCCTGTATGGGCTGAGGCAGTGAATGCAGGGTGATATAGACGGCTTAGTTTTCTGGTGTCATGCTGTGGGGTCAGAAGGATGTGATGGGCAAATGCACTAAGACATTTAAGCTCGATGCAGAGTGGGCACCAGCCACTGTCCCTGGGCACCCACTGCCTGGGCTATGCATGCATTGCCTCTAATCCTGCCTGGCAGCTGTGGGGGTGAAGCACTGCTCCCTTCTTACAGGTGGGCTCTAGGGCACTGAGACAGCTAGAAACCTGCCAGGACATCAAGCTGGCACTTGGCTCCTTCTGGGTCATCCATGGCTGATCCATTCATTGTGACCTGCAACACTTTTGTTTTTCCAGTTCATGGTGTATGAAGTCCCTGGTCAGGACTTAGAGGTGGACCTGTACGATGAGGATACTGACAAGGATGACTTCCTGGGCAGGTGAGGAGGGGTGGGGCTGGGCCGGGCTGGGGGCTCTGAGCTAGGCCCTGGGGCACAGGGACCCTGCTCCCAGTGCTAAATGACCTGCAACCTTTCTGATCACTTTGACAGAAAAACCGTGCGAGACATCCTGTGTCCCCATTCCAGTCCTGCCACAGACTTTCCCAGATGTGTCTTGAGCCCCCAGCCCTCATATAGGTCCTTGGGCAGTACAGAGAGGACCCCAGAGTCCTCTTGAAGCAGTGAAAGAGGCTGGCATGGATAGCGAGGTTCCTGATCCCACAGAAGCCTGGCCTTCAGGGATATGTACAGATTGGAGTGGCTGGGGTGGGGTCAAATTCATATGTCTAGAAACAGTCCCACTTCCAGGATTCTATAAAATAAGAGCATGAGTATTTAAAAAGCTTATCGGAGTGTCTGGAAATAGACTTCCTCCTCAACCCAGAGACCTGAATGGCCAGCTGCAGAGGGCCCTGACTGAATGACAGAAAATTCTGCAGTTTTCAGAACCCATAGAATCAGTGTGTGTTGATGGAAGGCCACCTGGGATATGCTAGTAAGTGGGGGAGCACTGTGTAGTTGGGCTCATCTTTCCAGGAGAGATCCCCAAGTGTGCATGTTCACCTGTGTCCCTGAGCAGAAAGAGCCTCACAAGTGTTAGCATCCTCACCTCAGGGCAGGAAGTGCTGAGTCTATACACCCTGTACTGTCGCATTTGCTTTTGTGCAAATGTAATTATAAAATACCAAATGGGAGAGATTCAATCTAACAGCTGAAGAAAGAGTTCGTACCAGGTCTTAGCACTTTTATCTTCATCTTAATGAAAATTAAGTTGCAATTTTAAGAGTTGCAGGCTAGGATTCTGGTTTGTGGTCCATGCCTTGAACTGAGGTACTTTGAGCTCAAGCACATTTCTAAGTTACACAGAAATGACACGCTTCCCCTGTGGCTGTCGGGACCTCCTGGTGGGCTTCGGTCCTAGGGATGCTGTGATGTGGGAGTGACCTCCTCTCACATACATGCCATCTGTACTTAGCCCTTTAAATCAAAGGAGGCACAATGACTGCAAGAGATGGTACCATGGCATCAGAAGGCACAGGACTAGCAAGCTAAATTCCCACAATGCATGAGCAGTTTTGCACAATGAAGAATCATCCCACTCAAAATACCAGCAGCATTGCTGCTGGGAAATCCAGAGGCATGTGTGCAGCGTCCCCTGCTTGTCCTGGCTGGGCCTGGAAGCCATCTGCCTCCTGGGGGAGGGGTCCCATGTCCAATGGATCAGGCTTGATGGTTAGCTAATTCATCTGAGCTAGAATTGGTCTCCAGTTGTTTTCTTGGGATGCATAAAACCCACTATCTTAATGGCCTCCTCAGATACTTGAAAACAGATCCTGGGGTAGGTTTCCAGGACCCCTGTGGATTGCTGCTGACTCCCTCTCCCTGTGTCTTCCAGCCTGCAGATCTGCCTCGGGGATGTCATGACGAATAGAGTGGTGGATGAGGTAGACCTGGTGCCCACACCCCTGGGAGTTCTCGGTGTAGCCCCCTTCCTGCAGACAGCTCTAGCAGGTTGCGTCAGCCAAGCTAGTCCTATGACATGGGCCCCCTTCCAGGCTGCACACATACCCATCCTCAGGGACAAGCTGAGGGAGGCACAGGTGGTGCCAGGAACTGCTGGTCCACCAGAGCCCACAGAGTAAGGATGCCCAGCAGAGGGCAGTCACATCACGGGGAGGACACACTGGACCAATGTTTTCCACCCCAAAGTATAGTATTTCTGCCCTCCTACAGCCACCTCTGCCAGTCCTGCTGATCCTGTCTCAGTTGGGTCACATTTTCCCTGGAGCCTATGTTAAGATCCACCAGGCCTCAGGAGTGAGTGACCCCAAAGGGCTTTACAGCATCTCCCTATTCATGTCCTTGAGCTTTTCTCTCCTGCCTCTACCCCAGTGGTTTGTCCTGAATGACACAACCAGTGGACGGCTACATCTGCGGCTGGAGTGGCTTTCACTGCTCACTGACCAGGAGGCGCTGACAGAGGTGAGTGTCAATGACTCCCTAGTAGAACACTGAGGGTGCGTGTAGGTGAAGAAGGGAAAGAGATGAGGCGCCCCACTTCTTATCTCCTGGAGAATATGTCACTCAGCCCCCTTTCTCCATCCAGGGAAGCCCCAGTCTACTCTGGAGCAATAGCCTCTGAGCAACTCAGTCATTTTCAGGAAGAATGAGGTCCTTAGAGCTCTGTGTCTGTGCCTGTCATCCTGGTTCACAGGGAAACATACCCTTGTGTCTAACTTGAATCTGCCATGCTTCAGTTATTTCTTAGCTGCAGCATAAGCCTAGGAGGTGATAGAGGTAGGGCTAGTCTGGAGTGAGGGCTGGCTTCCCTCACCGTGAGTAGGCATCTCTAAAACCAGTCTGTTTCTCTTGCTGCTGAGGCCACTTGGTAACAGCTTGTGTCCGTTTTCAGGACCATGGTGGTCTTTCTACTGCCATCCTTGTGGTCTTCTTGGAGAATGCTTGCAACCTGCCGGTGAGTGGCGACATATTCAGTGTCACACACAACTTCCCTAGTACATAGCATTTCCAAATTTCCAAGGTGATTTAACCTTGACTCTCCTTGTGCTGCAGAGAAACCCTTTTGACTACTTGAATGGTGAATATCGAGCCAAAAAACTCTCCAGATTTACCAAGGTAGGCATAAATGGGCCAAAAACTCAAGAAGGCAAATTACACTTTTATCACAAAGGGTAACAGGAGTGCAGGTACCCTTCACTGTGTCTCCTGTATGCTGAGCACTGGCTTGGCAGCTCCTCCCGTTCCTTATCTGTGACTACTGTAATTTTTATTGCCATTTACATACTCAAGAGTACCCAGATTATGTGCCTGGGTCTTACAGTGAGGAGGCGGAACTTTACTCTGTCTGTTTTCATAGCCCCAGGGGAAGAGCCTGCTCCCTGCCAAGCCAAGCTCTGGCCCAGGCCTCTAGTCTGTAACTTGGAACCTCTGCCTGCATCAGCCCCATCCTGTGTAGTTGCGTAATTGTGGCCCAGTGAGCCAGAGGGCCTTCTCTAAGGGAAGCAGTTGCTACTCCAACTGCCCTGAGGGCTGATGGGAGCAGGGTGTGGTGGAGATGGGGACCCTGGCAGACCCTCATGGCACCATTTCAATATTGTGGGCTTTCCTATTTCACAGAATAAGGGCAGCAGAGACCCTTCTTCCTATGTCAAGTTGTCAGTAGGCAAGAAGACATACACAAGTAAGGTAAGAGTCTCTGGTGTGCAGGCCTGGGGTAAGGAACTGAGCAAACAGGAAGGAAATTAGCTTAGCCTGAATACCTAGGAGGCACTTTATTTTAGTGGGCCTCACAATAACTTCACAGAGTAGTTTTATAGTTCAGGCTCTGAGGATCAGAGGTACTGACACGCCCAAGAGCAGCACCACAAAGCAATTGTTAGGGTATAAGCTTGAGCATGGTTCTAGAGCCCTTGTCCTTTCTACAACACCATGAAGCCCTCAGTCTGGTACCAGACATCGGCCTGGCCCCACTCCCCCAGAGTGAGCTCTCACCATAGGGCAATGTTAAGCTTCCAGTAAAACTTCTGGCAGAGTCCCCCTGGCCTTTGAGTGTGGTCTCCTGCCCTCATATGTCCCTGGCTGGAGTGGGCAGGTCTGAGCCCTGCGTGCAGGTAAGGTTCCCATTGGTACATGGTGGCCAGACTGACAGCGGAGAAGGCCAGCAGCAAGCTCTGCCCAAACTGACCTGTAGCAACCTCCCCTTCTGTTCTCAGACCTGTCCGCACAGCAAGGACCCTGTGTGGAGCCAGGTGTTCGCCTTTTTTGTGCACAGTGTGACAGTTGAGCATCTCCATCTGAAGGTTTGAACTGGGGCTCTTGGGATGGAGTTAAGAGATCTCTAAGCTGGGAGGGCTTGCAGGCCTTGAGCAGGTTCCAGCCCTATTTCATCAGCCTCTGGTATGTGGGAGGACACTGGAGCCCCACAAGGCTGCATCTCCTTGGGGCTGGTACCCAATGTCATAGTGTAGGAGGCTTTCAAACCCCTCAAGTTCCTTAGCTCTACCTGAAAAGGGACTCTATAGTTTCACACACCCCTGAGTGGCCTATGTTGGTATCTATGCAGGACATTATAATGGCATACCTGTTTAAAAATTTTCATTGAATCTTCATAAAAAATCTGTTGGAAGAGATTAACTCCTTTTATATATAAGCAGATAGATGCTAAATCAGTGATTTGCCCAAGATCTCAGGACCAGTGAGTGGTGAAGCTGGGACCCTCTGGAATCCCTAGTTTTGCCTGGATGTCAGCTGCTGGTCCCTGAAGCCCCTGTGCCCGTGTAGCCCTGGGCATCTGCCTGACTGGCTTCAGAAGAACCATACTCACCTCTGCCCTGAGTCACTCTCTTGCCCTGACCACAGGCAGAGACCAGCTCTGACCTAGCTCTGTACCTGTTTCTAGAAAAGAATGAGATGCCAAATATGAACTGAAGTAAACCCAGACTGGCGGGAGCCCAGAAGGTAGCAGTGGTGTAGGTAGGGCTAGCCAGCCTTTCATTCTGTGACTGGCCCTCTGCCCAGGTCCTGGATGACAGCCAGGAGTGTGCGCTGGGAGTGCTGGAGTTCCCCCTGTGCCAGATCCTGTCCAGTGTGGACCTCACCCTGGAGCAGCGCTTTCCGCTGGACCACTCAGGCCTGGACAGCCTCATTTCTATGAGGCTGGTGTTGCGGGTAAATCTTTCTTGTCCCCAGGGAGAGTACAGCTTTGGCTATGGAGCAAGGTGAACTATCCCAGAAGCTCTGGACAAACAGGTTTCAAATACAGTCAGTTGTCTCTGCAAATACTGCCTTCCCACATTCTCTTTTTTTTTTTGGTACTGGGAATCAAACTCATGACATCACACTTGCCATGTCTCCGGCTCTCTCATTCTTAAATCCCTCTTTACAGCCTCTATACTGGTCCTTCTCATCTGTCTTCCATGTCTCTTGACCATACCTTTTATTTCTATTTCCTTAGTACTTTTTCACAGAGATCTCATCTTTATGGATCTCAGTATAACTCTCACAATGACTCAAGAATAGCTTAACTTTCATTTTTCAGTTTTCTTTTTAAAAGGAATTATGCTTGCTTGCTTATCAATTTGCTGTGCATTTTAAAAGATGCTCATTTCATTTTGGCATAGAAGATTTTTCAGGACACTTGGGTTAACATATTTTTGTAAATGAAATTCCCTAGGAAGGGTCTTGGTGATCGATGATTGAGGGGAAAAGGGAAAGAAACACAGTGACTGGGGTGGTAGAAGTGCTGGGCCCAGTCCATAAACTACCTTGTCGTCTGCTTCCAGTTTTTGTGCATAGAGGAACGAGAGCTGGGGAGCCCATACACAGGACCCAAAGCCCTAAAGAAAGGGCCTCTGTTCATCAAGAAGGTGGCTACCAACCATGGTCCCAAAGACCCACCCCAAGGAGAAGGCCCTGCAGAGTTGCCGTGTCCTCTCGCCCCTGCTTCTGACACCACGGATGCCTGCAAGAGCACCTTAACCACCACCACTGTTGCCAACCCTGTAACGCAAGAGACAGGCCCAGATCCCAAAGGCAAGGACAGTGCCAAAGGGTTCTGTGAGCCTGCAGGGAAGAAGAGCTCAGCTACCATCTTCCTGACTGTCCCAGGCCCCCATTCTCCAGGGCCCATCAAGTCACCCAGACCCATCAAGGGCCCTGCCTCCCCATTTGTATGGCCACCCAAGGGTCTGCTTCCCAGCATGTCCTCGCTCAACTCCCTGGCCTCTTCCTGCTTTGACCTGACAGATGTCACCTTCAACTCTGAGTATGCACCTCTCTGCTTAACCTTTTCTAATACCACCTGCATGACAAATATTTCCTGGATGGGAAAGCAGACATGACCTTAAATAGCTATAGAAATTGTGGTTTTCCACAGAATACCATATCTTTGTGAGGTAGCATGGTGTGATAGAAAGAATATAGGATAAGGGAAAAAGCCCATCTGTCTGGTTATGTCTCCAGCTATATACAATGGTAAAATAGAAAGTCTCTTCTAGCAGAACCATCTGCTGAATGCTAAAGCGCTATGGTGTAATGAAATGAAAAGCTTAAGATATGTAATTATGTAACTAGTGGCTGCCACTTATTGTTTACTATAGACTGAATATTTTATCTGATTTGGTTCAGTCTTCACCATAATCCTAAGAGAGAACTTAGTATCTTAAAAATCAGATTGACCCAAAGGAACTGCAAGGCAGATCCATTCCAGGGTTCATGTTTGTCCTACTGCAAAACAGGCCAGCTATGATCTGATGCTGGGTGGAACCAACTTCCACCTGAAAGGAACTTAGAAGTATGCACCCACATGGCTCTGGGTTCCCGCAGAAGAACACACTTCTGTTTTGAGGGGAGAGGGTTAACCCGTTATGACAAGAGAGGTTACAAGCTCTTTCTTCACAGAATTGGCAGCTGCAGACCGCAAGGGCTTGGTGAGATCCAGCTCACGGTGCGCTACGTGTGTCTGTGGCGCTGCCTCAGGGTGCTGGTCAATGGCTGCAGGTAAAGGGATTCTGGGACAAGGAGGTTCTTTGGAACCATCAGGCAACCGTAAATCAAAATGTGGGCCCTTGGAGCAATAGTAAGGGCATGTAGTAGACAGAGACGAGGTAGTAACATTAACTGGGGAGAAATGAAATTTAAAGGCCTGTGTGTCATGAGTGGAAAAGGACACACAAGTGGTTATTCATTGATGGTGTTGATGAGGTCAGGAAGCTAAGGCTGTGCTAAGACCCTTGGGTTGGCTGACAGCCAGTAGATTTTCCCAAGCAGAAATATCTAACTTAGATGGAAAGTGTTTGGCCTAACATGGTTTTGAAATTATGCACCTGGTACTTTGTCCTCTAAATTCTGGAGACTTTCGTGTTTTGTAAACTTTCAAGTAGACCACAAAAAGTGTTTATTCTCAAGCCCACCTAACGGCAGATGTTTAGCTCTCCCCCGAATGACTATTTTCAGTGTCTGAAATCCAAGGGCCTTTTCCCCCCTACAAATCAGAAACCTGACTCCATGTAGTAGCAGAGGAGCTGACCCCTACGTCCGCATCTACCTGTTGCCCGAAAGGAGGTGGGCAAGTCGCAAGAAGACCTCAGTGAAACGCAAGACCCTGGAGCCCCTGTTTGACGAGACGTAAGTGGCCGCGGGTCAGCCTAGAATGCCCAGTCCTTTCAGGTAGCTGCTGGGTGCTGCCGAGTGCCAGAGGCAGCCAGGCTGTTCAGGGTTAACGGTCTGACTTAAAGAAGCCTCTACATACTTTTTTGTGGGAGAAAAGGGCTGCCCCCATTTAACAGCCCACTGAGACCAGTGTTCCTGATTATGAAATGTTCTATACTCATTCTCTTTAAATATTTTTTGGCAATAAGATTTGAATTTGATCAAAATTTGTGTTCTGTATCTGTTTTAATGGAACCTGAGGACCTAAAATTTCCTCTATGGCTCAAAGCTTTTGGCCCTCTTGCAACATAAGAGATGGCAGGTGAGACAAATGCTTTCCACTTCTCCACAGAGGCTTCTCCACCCATGTCCGTAGGAAGACAACTGCTTGGCAGGTTCTAATCACATAGCAAATTTCATTTCAAATATTTTCAGTCTTGATAATCCACAAGTTTCTGAAGTCAGAATTTCATCATTACTTCTGTTTCAGAGTCCTAAGAAAATCTACTTTAGCCAGCTTAGAAGATGGCACAAATATACTCCTAATTTTGGCCAACACTTTAAAAGGATTGTAACTGATTCTTTTTTGACAATGTCGAAGAACTATGTCTATGTTCTCTTAAGAGCTATGCTCTGAGTTTGTTAAGAAAAGCTGTCATAGCTGGGCTTGGTGGTGCAGGCCTGTAATCACAGCATTTAGGAGGCCGAGGCAGGGGGATCATGGCAAGTTTGAGACTAGGCCTGAGTTACAAAGTGAGCCCAAGGCCAGCCTGACCTGCACAGCAAAAACCTGACTCAAAAAGTCCAAAAAAAAGTTTAAAAAAGGGCTGTCAGGAAGATATTTTATTGTTCATTTACTCAGTACCTCATGCCAGACACCACTGTATCATCTAGAGCCACATAAGAGACTTTGACCTCAAAGACAGCTCAGCCACACAAAAAGATGTCAAAATGCTACGTAGGGATTGAAGGGGTAGGTTTAACATTTGACTTAACACACAATTAGTTTCTTATTCTCTCAAAAGAATCTGGAAGACAGACTTGGCCACCCCTACCTTAAAAATAAACCTAGATATACTGGCTCCAGAGTCCTTTAGGAATATATGACAGAGACTCTTCTGCCTTAGTCCAAGGAGGCAGCTGCTAATTTTCAAGAGGTACTTCTCAGGCCCCTTTCTACTTCCCGGGTTCATGACCAACATGGGACGGTAATGATCTATAATCAATTTACTGAGGTACTCAGTCAGAACCACTCCAGATGCTCAATCTGTGGTTCCTGTTTCAGTGGGGGAGTAGATGAAACACTTTAAAATTTCAACCAAAATGACTGAAATACGTAAATCTCATTTCTTGCTCCTTAAAGATTTGAATTTTTTGTTCCTATGGAAGAAGTACAGAAGAGGTCATTAGATGTTGCGGTCAAAAACAGTAGGCCACTTGGTTCACACAGAAGGAAGGAGTTAGGAAAAGTAAGTATACAAGACAAGGACTGCTGGTGTCCTGATGGGGGAACTTAGCCTTGCAGAAATTCTGGCAAAATCATTACAGCTAGTATTAGAACTGACTCCAAAACCCTTTTTGTCTTTCATATTCTTTAAAGAATACAGAAATATGAATTGGTATGAATTATTTTAATTTGACAAGCCAAATTCAGCATTCCACAAATATTTGAACATTTGCCATGGTATTAACTCCCAGGAATATGCCCAGGAGAGACCCACTCAAAATGTATTTGTGTAGCACTCTGTACCTGTTGTATTTTAATAAATACCTTATAGTCACCTCTTTAAAGCACTCACTGCGATGAAGCAGATGGTATTATTCCTGTTTACAGATAAAGCAAATTTTATTTTTATAACATTCATTTAAAAATTTAAAAAGGAAAAAAACCTGAAGTAAACTCTGAAGAGCAACTGGCCTTTGCCCAGGACACTGAGGTCAGTGTCTGCACTGTCCCTGGAGAGGTGCAATGTCGAGAGCCAAAACAAAATCGCTGCTGGAAAGCTGAGTGCTATGGAGCTCCTTTTATGATCAATTCAGTTTATTTCACTGTTTCTATTTAAAGCAGTGTTTTATATAAGGGAACTTTTTGTCACCTTTAGGTACTGATTGATTTATCAAAAGAAGATCTGATTAAAGGCTTTTCACAATGGTAAGTCTTTTTATTTTATCACTGTTAATGTGCTATTCAAGATAGTCTCAGTTGCCCATATTTTCTCTCCAAAGTTCTTCCCCTTTCAGTAATATTTCACTGTAGGAAACGAGACAAATTAACACCTCATAGCAGTAATGGTGAATTTAGAGACAAGGGCCTAAAGTGCAACCCTCTGATTTATCACAGAGTACCAACGCTGAAGTAAATCTCAACACTGAGGTTTTAGTTTAGAAAAAACATTTCATACAATGTGCATGCCCTCAGTGTGCCACCACTTCCTTAAAGTACTGCCTTCAGGTCTCGCCCATATGACTTTTGTAAATTCTAGTGTTAACTCTGCCCGGCCAACTCAAGAGATGGGACTGTAGGCTCTGTGGAGGCCCAGACATCTTACCCTGTTACAGCTACAACACACTGACCTCCTAACACAGGTGCAAACCCCACTGTCTTACAGGTATGAGCTGACTCCAGATGGACAGCCCAGAAGCTGAAAAGTGCCATTATCATCAATGTTAGAATGTGTACATATGTATAGTATTTAAATAAGTCACTTGTTGAATATATATATATGTATATATTGTATAAAATTTAGCTATGACTAGATTGGAAGAGGCAGTATTATATAAAGGCAAGAACTACTTCATCTTGGTTAGATTTGTTCAAATCCAGAAAGAAATGGGATATTAAGTTATCAAAACTTCAGGGGTAGACTATTTTTTTACTTTTGGTAGGTAATTAGACACATTTGATAGACACATTTGACTTAGGACTTGACTGAATGTATGCAGCAGAAAGTGTCTCAGCCTTGACATAAGGGCCAGGAGAGATCTGTTCCTGGAGCACTTAACAGTTATTCCTGGCCAGTTATTGACCAAGGGAGGGAACTTCTGTGGAAACACTGACCCAACAGCTAACACTGCCAAAGCCATTCTGGCTGTCCCTGTGATATTTCTATGGTTGGAGATTTAGTCCTGTATCTGATTTGGAAAATGCATTTCCCTAATGACAACTATGTTATAACAACATACTTAAATACTCTGGAAATAATTCCACAGGCTAAGGGCTGGCCCTAGGCTATGCACTACAGTAGGAACATGGAAGCCAATTTCCAAAGCCAGGTCTGATTTGAACTTACAGCAGAGCTTTGGAGACTCCCACAGAGTATAATTACAAACTTGAAAGTTGTCACTTTTTTTTTTTTAGGAGATAACCTTTAACATTATTTAAGTGAACCAGCTAATTGTATACAAAAAGTGCCTCTTTTGCAGTTCAAACTTGAAAGATCAAATAGACTTATTCCTTCTTCTATGTTCTTACAGCTACTGTAAACATCATGGCAGGAATGTTGTCTGAGTGGTAAGGGGAGAGGATCTAAGATGGTTTTTGTTTTTGTCTTTTTGAGAAAGGCTTTCACTAAGCAGTTCAGGATGTCCTTGAACTCACAGCAGTCCTCCTGCCTCAGGGATTACAGGTGTGTCCTACCACATTCAGCCTCTGTCATAAGTTTTTTGTCCTCACCAATATTATTTTTCTTTCTTTTTTTTATTTTTGGTACCAGGGATCGAACTCAGGACCTTGCGCTTGATAAGCAGGTGCTTGTGCTGCTGAGCTAAATCCCCTAGCCCAACAATACCATTTTTCTAACGAATGGCAACATTTTAAACATATTTGTTCTCACAAATTTCTGTAAAAATCAAAATGCACTCCTTAATTTTTGCCTTTTAGATGTAAGATAACCAGGTTTCGGTTGCTTTATTCACCTACATTAAGCCAACCCACAATGAAATGGCCTATTCCCACCTCCTGTAGAGTGTTTCTCATATTAACAATCATAACAGTAAAATATTATACATGTTTACTAGGTATTGACTAAGGTCACATGCTAAGCTATGTTACGTATGTCTGGTATTTAATGTTTCGGTTTACATGTCAGTTGAACTGTTACCTGAACTGTTCTTCACCCTTGCCATCCTAACCTGTGCAATTCTGAACAATGAATTCTCAGAATAAACTATGTCAAGTGATGTTTATCTGGTGTACTTCATGACAACACTGTAACTGCTCTCTAAATGGAAAAGTGCCTCAAAAATGGTAAAGTACAAGAAGTAAAAGAGAATTCACGGTATAGTCCATCCTAAATATTTGCAACTACTGTTGATCAAGATGACAGACAAGTGAAATCTCTAGAGGTGATATCCCGCTGCCAACTAAAAAGCACACAGGTAAAGGTCTTAGTGATGGTTAAAACAGGAAACCAGAACAGTTTGAAGAATACAAATGGGACGTTAAAGTGTTGAAGGGAATGAGAATTTTAGCACACATCAGACAGGAGGCAAGGAACCTCAGAAGTTTTGTCTCAATAGAAAACACCTTGCTTGGCAGGTTGGCAGGAGGGGTGAAAGCAAGCTGTCCTACAGAAGCACAGGGTCTGAAGTTCCCTACCATCAACCTGAAGCAGAACCCTAAAAACTAGAATAGGTTTAGAAACTGGAACTCTGTGAAAACCTTCGTTAGCTACAACACTGGTACTTGGTGGCTACTTGTAGCCAGGGCACATAGGAAAGCACTGTAGCAGACACTGGCATGAATGGGAACTTGAAGGTAAAGATGACGGAACTTGTAACGCGGAACATCACACTGAAAATGACTAACATTTCCATAAGAGAGGAAAGGTTCTATTAAGGCAGAAGTAGCATAAGGGATGCAAAGATATCTGTAAAATACACTGGCAAACATGTCTTGGTCATTTAGCAATATAACCAAGTATGTTAGTCAGCTTTCCAGTACTATAACAAATGCCAGAGACGACCAGCTCATAACTAAAAGTTCATTTTGTTTCGTAGTTTTGTAGGTTTCATCAGTGATGGTGCATGGCATGGCATATTAGGAAAGTATGTCAGCTATGAATTTCTATGCTTAGAAAATTAGGCTCAAAATTTTTTGAAATTTTGTATTAGTATTTCCTAGAAACTGGCAAATCAAGCACAAAGATTTACAAATGTAGATTTAAATAACACAGTAGCATGATGTACACTGAGAATAGACTGTAAGGACATATAAAAAAATTTATCTAAAGCCATAAAGTCTCAACAGATTCTAAAGACTCCATACCAGAAAGACCACACAGTATTCTCTAAATACAAGGCAAATAAAATTAGATCAAAACAAAACACCAGGTTAGCCAATGTGTTAAGTTACTTTCCTTGTTGCTGAGGCAAAGTACTAGACACCCAAGGTAAAAGGAGGAAAGTTTTATTTTAACTCACAGTTGGTAGACATTTCAGTCCATTGGCTGGCTCCAAGGCAGGGTGGAATGGCAGACAAGAAACAGCCCATAGCAGCAGGCCTGTCTTCCATCTTTCCTTTTATATTAGTGTTGGTTGGTACAACCCACATCCAGAACTGCTAAATCAATCAATGGACTGATTTAATTATCACACTCCCTTCATCCATATTCACACCCTCCTGATTCACATTCACACATCCAGCCACTTCCACAAAGCCCCAGCTAGACTTCACACCATAATTCTAGAGCAGCGTGGTGATGCATGCCTGTAACCCCGCACTCAGAGGCTCAGGTAGGAGGACAGAGTTCCAGGCCAACCTGAGCTATGCAGTGATACCCTGTCTCAACCAATGCCTTTTCCCAAATACTTCTAAACTATATTCTAGCCAGGATAGAGGGACAGACACCAAATTAACCCTTCTACCTTTAACAGCCAAATAACATACAAATAAAACTACCAAAAACAAACAACCACCACCAAAACAAAAGCTCCAAAACCAAAATACATGGAACAGGCTGAGCCACTCAGTATCAGGCATATGTTCATATGAATATGAGTGTAGGCTGCAATTTTATAGTATTCAAAATTAGAAACTCAAATTTCCATCAACAGGTGAAGGAATAAACAAATTATGGTATATTCATACAACAGAACAGTACATAATAATGAACTATTAATACACACAAAAATCTTAATTTCTGAAAAACTGCCAAGCCAAAACAAAAAGAACATGATTCCATTTATACTAAATTCTATAACATGCAAACTATAGTAATCTATAGTGATAGAAAACATAAAATGTTGCTGGAGGATAAGAGAAAATAGAAAGGATTAGCAAAGACAGAAAACTGGAATGACAGGTACACTGAATCTTCTAATTTGACTGCGGTGATGGTTTTGGATATATTTGTATATCTGAATTTATCAGATTGTGTATTTTAAGTGTGCACCACTTATATACTAGTTATACCTCAATAACACTGTTAAATCAATTTTCTAGTATTTTAAATGTTTTCATTTAAAAATTGCTAAGTAATTGTACTTTTATTTATAATAAGAATTCATAATAAGAAGTTGGTTAAGAGCCGATCTGATAGGGACAGCCTAAAGCCACTGCTGTGTCACTGCACTCCTCAGTGGTCCTGAGGTCCCTCCAACACATGGCCTCTGGAAAAGTGTTTCAAAATTTCTATATTGAACTAAGAGTTAATCATAGGCTCATAAACTAGATGGCAAAATTCAGATGAAAATAATATTTTGGGCATATTTCTTTCCAATATATAAACTTTTTCATAACAGTTTCTTGGGATAATTTTCAGAGTATTTATATAATCAAATATTCAAATACTGTACTTTTTCTACTCAATCCTCAAGACATATGTTCTTTACAAACTGTTGGCTTGTGATCTAACTATAGGTTAACAAAGCAATGTTAAATATAGAAGAAATCCAAGATACTGTCTTATATATCCCTGAACCTAAGGTCACACCACCAAGGATGTGGATGCTGATCTATCGACGTTTATTCTTCACTGCACCTTGCCTCTTGGTAGGCTCTACAATATTCTATGTGCCACCTGGCCACAGTGACTGAGAAATCTTCCTTGGCTTGTTACTTATAAAAAGTAGGATGGGGGTTGGCTTGAAGCAGTTTGTACGCATGCATGTGATGTAGAACCCTCGTCCCTTTTAGAGAGCGAAAAACAGTAAGCATAGTACTTTGGTTTGGTTTGGTTTTTTTTCAGACAGGGTCTTACAACATAGACAGGGCTGGCCTTGAACTCGCAGCAGTCCTCCCGCCTTAGCTTCTTGAGTGCTGGGATTACAGGCGTGCACCACCATGCCTGAGAGGCTAGTACTCTATGTAAAACACACAAAGGGTAAAATCAGGTGCCCAAGGAAAGCTCAGCCTAGGAAGTGTATAACTCAATATTTGTAAATAATATAAATAAGTCACTAAGAACACTTAGGTTTGGAAATATTTTTTACAAAACTTTTATTTGAGATTGAATCTCCTTATAAAAGCACATTACATGAAGACTACAAAAAAGACATTAAAAAGAGGAGCTTTTATCTAGTCACCTATTTTATTCCACGATTTCCTAGTCTAAACAAAGATACAAATTTTTTTCTTTTTTTCCTCCTTCCTGCTCTAAAAGAAAAACTGCCATGAGGGATATCTTAATAGAACACCAATTAATCCTTGCCAGGAAAGCTGACTAGACTTGGCATTCCTTTTGCCCGAACAGAAGGGAGTAAATCTTTAACTTAAATACAACTTTTCCATTATTTCCATACTCTCTCTCTCTGGGTCTTTTACTCACAAACTCTACCCTAAATTTTAAGCACTCAAGAACTGCTTAAAATATGATTAAGGAATCTAGAGTTAATTTACTAATTTACCAACTTTTTAACAACTTAGCCATTTTTTATAAAAGAATCTCAAAGTTAATAAAAAAAAACTATAAGGAGAATCACCCACTACTAAGAGGATGAATTCTGAAAGCAAATATATTTTATACCTTTTAGCTCAAGATAAGACCAAATCCATAGAATAGTTAAAATGGCAAAAATGCAATTTACACACTAAAATGATTTGATTTGTTTCAGTATGAAAGTACTTTTAATTTCTTTACTGCAGGTACAATGGCATCCAAGTCATCAATTTCTGTAATGGAAAAACAAGAATAATAAAGAAGAGAAACTTTTTCTAGTGATAAACTCAGAAAAATGAGAACTTCCATCAGTTATTTAATTTTCTCACTTAAGTCAGAATACTTGTCTAGATCCACTTATACAACAGAGAAGCTGGCTCACCATGGTAAAGTACAAGACCAAGTTATTCCTTGGTGCCCCACCCTCACCTCATTCTGAAATCAACCTGTTTTCTCACTAAATGAGAAACTTGACTTACAGAAATGCATCTTACAGAGAATACTTTATAAGAAAAAAATATTTAAAAGAATCTATTGAAAAAAGACTCTTATCTGGCACTCAGTACACCACTCTGGACTGAGTGGTAATGACATTCTGCCCAACAGATTCTAACTTTTTCAATCCTAAACATAATAATTAAGCCCATAATTTAAATTCTGACCAAAATGCAGAATTCATCTACAAAGAAACTTGGCTTTCTAAAGCAACTGATCTTATGTGAACCAGATTAAGTGTCATAATATCTGAAAGTTTCTATAAAAGAATCTAAATAAGAGTTACAAGTATACCTAATATTTGTTAATGTACAAGATGGTATTTATTAGTGACAAATACATCACTATTATGTTACTGGGCATTCTAAAGCAAGTAGAATCACTCTGTGAAACCAAGCTCTTCAGGACGTTAGCAACACACTTACACATTTACACATTTACACACTTACACATTTCATACCTTAAATTTAACTTTGCAGTTACACTTTGACTTGCCAGGACTTTTCCAGTGTATTGGCACACCTACAGGACACTCGCTGTCTCCCTTGCTCTGACAGCCCTTTAAGCAGCACCCAGAAAACCTGTTATGTTCACTAGGCTACATATTCCAGTCAGAGAGTTCATTCATTTATTAATCTTACCAAGTTGGAATCTACTTATTTCCTGTAATCCCTGTACTCAGAGGCTGATCACAAGTTTATGTCCAGTCTGGACTTAGCTATAATATGTATAGCTATAATTTAAGGACCTAATGAGATCCTGTGCCAAAAATAAAACATACAAAAGAGGTCTAGAAATGTAGCTCAGTGTGAAGGCCCTGGGTTCAATTCCAAGTACTAAGAAAAAACAAACAAAACCCCCACCTACAAGATTGGTTATTAGAGTATGACAGAAGGCCAGGCGTGGTGGGGCACACATGTAATCCCAGCACTGGGAAGGCTGGGGCAGAAGGATTGCCATAGGTTTGAGGCCAACCTGAACGACATATTGAGACCCTGTCTCAAAAAAAAAAAAAGGAGAGAGAACAGGACAGAGCCAGAGATGGGCAGTCCCTGTCTCCTTAAAGACCCATTGCTCCCATTCTGTGGACTGATCCCAAACAACTCTAACTGCAAGTGAGAAGTGTGTCTGACAGCCATAGTATCAGTGGCTTCCAGACACCTGCCAAGTACTCAATCTAAAACTACTCACCTAGCCTAAAAGCACTTTTCTCTCAAACCCACTGACATTTTAAAAGTCAAAGTCACTGACATCTTAAAAGTCAAAATTTCCCAACAACAGAGATCTTACCTAAGATTTCAAGTAGATCATTAGCAAATGCCTGAAACGCTGGGAAAAATTCCTCATGTTCTTCCAGTCTGCTGATAATGCTGTTTAAAAAACGTACAGTTTATACCAAAATTCTAATTTAAAGGTTCCTTGCACTTGATTGGAAATAGGTGGCTGCAAACAGAACATCTTCAAAGTAGAAAGAAACTATCCTAATTCAAATATAAACTACGATTCTTTGTTTTTGAATCCTCTGTTCACCTAATATCACTTTTCTAAAAAAGCATCTTATTATCAGCATAAATATTTGTTAAATTTATATAACATTCATAACAAAACAAATTTTCCATTCAGCTTGAGACTTCTTAGTGAACGATACTTTCATATTATTTTCTAAAAATAGGCCTTTATATCCAAAATCCAATTAAAAATGAAGAAAAAGCATTAACAGTCAGTAAATCTACCAGAGGGGGAAAAAGACCAACACCGGGATATATGTTCCTTTTAAAAGCATCAAATACCAAATAGGTATGCGCCAGATTAAGGTTCTTCCTGGAAAACCTGCAGAATATATCTTCCTATCCCATATGTTCTGTATAAAATTGGAGGTGAGAACTGGGAAAAGTTTCTTTATCTATAGCTAATACTGTCTTAATGGGGGAGAAGGCTAAGGATTGAACACAGGGTTTCGCGTATGCTAATCACAAGTTCAACCACACAGCTACACCCTAACCCCCTCAATATTTTTAAGACCTCAGATTTTATGTTAGTAATGCCCAGTCTTTTTTAAAAAAACCCTTAACATTTGTCTTCTAATCAAATAATATGTATACATGTATCATTTTCTAATCAAATATATGTATTTGTGTATAATGTTGGCAATTATTCAGTGGTCTATGATGAATCGTAAAATAGGACTTCCTAATATAATTAGAACTCCCATGAAGTAGTTTAAAGATCTGAACTTCATCATATGTAATTTTCCTTGAGAACAGGAGTATGTTGAAGAGTATCTGACTCACTCTATGGGCCTACAATCTACTTTATCTTGAATACTTGGCATTTTCTCTGTTCCTAAGGTGTGAGATTATGCTCTTCCAGACAGAGAGGGTAAATAACATGAAGGTTTGCATGTCTTTAATTTCACCATTTTAAGCATTCTGAATGATTATTTTTCAAACAAATACCTTTGGAGGTCTTCGGGTCCTAATACTTGTTTAACCTGCTCATTCACATCCTCATTAATCAGCCTACACAATTTTCCAACTGTGCTTACCAGCACACACAATGAGGATGAACTATCTGCAAAAGAGAAATAATAATATAAGACTTTATTTTTTTGCTTTTTTTTTTTGAGACAGGGTCTCACTATGAAGAGTTTAGACTGGCCTTGAACCCACTTTGTAGCACAGGCTGGCCTCGAACTCACAGCATTCCTTCTATCTCAGCCTCCCAGTACTGGGATTAAAATAACACATTTCAAGAGACAATTTCCAAAATCAGTGCAGCTATCAAACATTTTGTTTCAGTTATCCTCAATTTTTACTTTAAAAAATTTTTATTTTTTTATGATTTATAAGAAATATTTCTTAAATGGGAGCTAAAAGTGATAAAAGGTCATCACCTAGTTCTAGGAGTTCTTGGAGGTTCCTCACAGCATTGTTCATTTCTCCAAGCCTACTATAAACTTCATTCATTCGGGGATAGACTCCATTTAAAGAAGGTACATCAAATAACTTTTGGAAGTGAGAGACAATAGCTTGCAAAGTTTGAAAGTTTGGCGTGTTGCTATCCTGTTGAAAAGCAGCAAAAAGTTCAAAATAATCCCAAACAGATCATCAAAAACTTCAAAGTGTGAGCCTTTAGTAAGAATTAAGTATTACCTTTTTCTTATTTTCAGCTTCTTCCAACATGGCATCTACCATAAACAGCAGGTCTTCAACTCTGACGCCTTCACTTACATCCTGTTTCTTAAAGTTATGCCAAGGCACCAGTTCTGTAGATAGTATTTTCAAGGACTTATACAAATCCTTTAAACAAAACAAAACCTAGATGCTATTATTATTTTAATAAACAGTTCCAGCATTTTCCAGCTTACCTGCCTACTTACTCTTGCCATTGGATGTGCTCTCTCAATTTTCATTTTATTGTGATAAAATATACATAGTTCACAGTTTTTGCCACTTTTACATATAAGTTATGTGATATTCAACAGATTCATCATTTTGTTTAACCATCTTCACTACCCATTCCCCATCTCTTTGTCTTGTAAAATGGAAACTTGCTACCCATTAAATTACTCTTTTTCTCTTCTCTTAGCAACCACTGTTCTCTCAGTCTGTGATCTTCTCTACTGTAATAGTTATATAAATGAAATCATATGGTATTTTTCTTTTGATGACTTCTTTCACTTAGCATAATATCCTCATAATATTCACTCAATGTTGTGGTATGGATTAGAATTTGCTTCATTTTTGTGACTCAGTAATATTCCTGTAAATAAAGTAACTCAGTCAGGAGTGGTGGCACATAATTGTAATCTCAGTACTTGGGAGGCTGAAGCAGGAAGATCACCACAGGTTCAAGGCCAGCCTGGACTACATAGTGAGTTAGTTCAAGCCCAACCTGAACTATATAGCAAGACCCTATCTTAGAGAGAGAGAGAGGGAGAAAGAGAGACAGACAAAGAGAGACCAAGAGAGACTGAGAGAGACAGAGACAGACAGAAGGACACTGAGATTCTAAGCAGATTGAGTGATAAACAGCAAAGAAACAGCCTCTCTGAGATTTGGCGCCTACACACTGTAATGTAACAACCTGAAGAGGAGGAGGAGGAGGTAAGTGGGGTCTACAAGAACCAGCAAGCACCTGAAGCAGAAACTGAAGCCCACAGGGAGAGTGAAGAGAGAAGAGTGAAAGCAGAAGAAGGTGGCAGGTGGTGTATTTTCCCTGAGCCCTGATTTGCTGAAAGTGAGGAGCAGCTTGAATCTGCAGACTCACAGTGAATCCTGGTGACATCTGAGGCCTCCACAGTGAAACACACCAGTGGCATGGAGCACAGATGCAGTGGCTGCTGATAATTGCGGTTTGGTCGTCCCCCAGGAGAGTGTGACTGGTGCTGCCATCTTAGAGAGGGGCCGACAGGACTCAGAACGCAGAGCCACTATAGGCTGGCTCCATCTAGCCTCTCCCAGTGTCCGTGGGAGGTGGAACCAACTGCAAGTCAGCACAAGGTCAAGGAGCACAGTTCAAGGTGGCAGGAGGTACTCCGTGTTGCAGTCTGAACAATGCACACTCCAGCCCCACACTCAGAAGCCAGCCTGAACTTCAGAGGAACTAAAGAGGCAGGCTTGCTGGGTTATTCACTACCCTGCCTTAAACCTATCACTGGCTTGCTGGGATTAATCAGCACAGATCTGGGCTCTTCTGCCTACTTGGTCTACCAGGCACAGCAGAGACATGCCCTGAAGTGGATGTCTCCTTTTTTGTTTTTGTTTTTGAGTATGAACACTGTTTCTGGTTTATTGTTGTTCTGTTCTTTTTATTTCTTCTTTCTCTTTCCCTCCTGCCTTCTTCACTAGTTTCCCAAAGTCCACATGATCATCCTTTGTCCTCCAGCCTTGCTTCTAATCTCTTCCTCTTGTTTCTCTCTCTCTTTCATCCCCCCACCCCCCTCACTCTCTCTCTTTACCTATAACTTCCTTTAAATTTCTCCCCGAGGGTAAAATTATCATAGTGAGTGATGTCCACCTATCTATTATTTGCAATTTTCTGGTTTGTTTTAGATTTTGTTATATAGGCACAAATTAATTCATGTGGTTAAAGGTGGCAAATTAACAGTTACCACAGTTTGTCACTTTCTAGGCTGTGTTTACATTAGCTAAGGTGACATAATTCTGATTAGCTGTTCTTTCTGGCATACCAAGACTGAGACTGTCTAACCATCATAAACAATACTTTAGGCCAGTGCCAAAGAACCAGGGGCTGGGCCACATAGGCAGCAACTTCTCATCCCAGGTAGGGGGGGTCTGTCTCTCCCTCTCTCCCTCTCTCTCTCTCTCTCTCTCTCTCTCTCTCTCTCTCAACAGGTACGATCTTGCAACAGACTTAAAACCCAAAAGCCAGCTACACCTGGAGGACACCTCTGAGAAAATATCAGAAAATGCAAAGATATCCCTTGTTGTTGGGTAGGAAAAACAAATATAATAAAAAGTGCTGTACTTAAAAAATTGTTAAACAGATTTAATGCAATCCCAATCAAAATGCCAATAGCATATCTTACAAAATTAGAGAAAACCCTAAATTCTTTTGGAACCAGAAAGAGACTTTGAATAGTAAAAGCAAATTGTGGGTAACAAAGGCAAGGCAGGGGCGTTATAATACCTGATTTGAAATTATACTATGAAGCTACTGAGATAAAAATATGGTACTGGAAAAAAAAAAAAAAGACCCAAGGATCAATGTAACAGATTTAGAAGATGCAGAAACAACTCCAAACACACTCAGCCACCTTTTGTTTGATAAAGGGGCCAAACACCTTCACTAGAAGACAGCCTCTTTAATAAGTGGTGCTGGGAAAACTGGCTTTCCACAGGCTGAAGTTTAAAACCAGACCCATATCTATTATCTTGCACTAAACTAAAATCAAAATGGATCAAAGATTAAATATTAAATATTCCGCTGGAAGGTAGAATAAGTAGAACTCTTGAATACATCGGTCTAAGCAGAGACTCTATTAGTAAGACCCCAGTCACACGGGAAATACCACAAAGGATCAACTGAGATTTCATCTTATTACAAAACTTTTGCACAGCAAAAGAAACCACTAACAGAGTGAAGACACAACCTACAGTGTGGGCAAATATTTTTGCCAGCTGTTCCTCATACAAAGGACTAATATTCAGAATATACAAAGAACCTAAATCATATTCCCCAAATTCAAAGACCCATCAAAAAAGGCCATCTGAAATGAACAGACACTTCTCAGATCAAGAAATACAGGCAGTAGTATATGCAAAAATGTTCAGTATCACTATTTGAGAGATGCAAATTAAAACCTTAGGATTCCATCTCACCCTAGAAAGAATGGCTATCATCAAGCAATCCACCAATAACAAATGCTGGTGGAGCTGTGAAGAAAAACAACCCTTCTCCAGTGCTGTTGGGAATGCAGACTGGTGTAACCACTGTGGCATATCAGTGTGAAGACTGCTCAAAGACCTAAAACTCAGCTATTCCCTTTCTTTGTATCTTCCTGAAAGAATTAAAAGCATTACACAATAGCAATATATGCACACCCACTATTTACAGTAGAACAATGTGTGACAGCTAAATGCTGGAATCAGTCCAAGTGCCCACCAACCAGTGAATGGATACAGATGTGGTTTTTAATACAACGGAGTACTACTCTGTCATAAAGAAGAACATGCTTGAGACATTTGTAGCTAAATGGCTGTACCTTGAGACTGTACTCTTTAGTAAAATAAATCAGACACCCACATTTAAATACTGCGTTGTTTCTCTGGTGTAAGAAACTGAAAGAATAAATGAGGCTCAAAATACATAAAAGATACTGGGAAATGGGAAGAAAATGTTCAAAGGGGAAGGGGAACAAGGTGAGGGGAGAAGAGAAGGAAAGAAGGGACAAGAAAATAGAAGAAAAATGCAAACAAAGCTTTTGTAATAAGGAGGGAAAGAGGGGTAAGAAGGGACGGGGAAGGGGCGATGGGACAAAAAGAGGCCAGATATGTCATGCACAGCTACAAACTCCCTATGATGAGCGCTGTCACTGTGTATATCTAAAGTGTATCAATAAAATTGAAAAAACAACAGATGATAACTCTCATGCACTGCTGGTGGGAATGCAAATTACTTTAGCTATTATGGAAAATATTATGGAGGTTCTTTTAAAAAAACTGGAAAGAAAGCTGTCATACAATTCAGCAAGCCTACTACTGGGTACATATCCCAAGAAAATGAAATTAATACATCAGAGAGACACCAGCACTTACATGATTACTGTGGCATGATTCACAATTGCCAAGATACGAAATCAACCTACGTTTCCAACAAGAGATGAATGGATACAGAAAATACGGTGTATAAATACAACGGAATACTATTCAGCCACAAAAGAAGAAAATTCTTGTTGCTTGCAACAACATAGATGGAACTGGAAGACATTGTAAGTAAAACAAACCCCAGATGCAGAACAATAAAACCACATGTTCTTATTTACAGAAATTAAAGTTGTTTTTTTTTTTGTCTTTTTCATTTTTATCGGTACCGGGGATCGAACTCATGACCACCTGCTTGCAAGGCAGGTGCTTATGCCACTGAGCTAAATCCCCAGCCCCATGTTGATCTTGGGGAAGGGAGAAGGGGAAAAAGAAGTAAAAAGAATTAAGATGTGTTATATGGATGTACCAACTCCCTATAATGAATGCCGCCATTATGTACTACAAACATGTACTAATAAAAAAATAAAAAGCTCCCTAGTATCTTGATATAAAAAACAAATAAAAATAAAAACCTAAATAAAATAAAATGTTGATCTCATAGAAGTAAAGCAGGGGTAGTGGTTTTCAGAGCCTGGCTAGGATGTGGGTAAAACTTACAGAGATGATGGTTAATGGGTATAGGGTGCACCTGGACAGCAGGAATAACTTTGATTGTTCTATAACACAGCAGGATAACTAAAATTGACAACCGGCTAGTAGCAGGGTTAGTTGCCCAGGCTGGGTTCAAACTTAGGATCCTCCTGTTTCAGCCGCTGGGTTGGGATTAAAGCATGCACCACTATGCCCAACAGTAAGTGAACACATTTTAATCTCCCATGATAGATAGAATAATTAGTAGTAAGGTTGGATGCTAGTTGACTATTACCTGCTCTGAAAAATAGACAAACATAAACTTAGCTCTGAGAGAAGAAAAATACAATGTGAAGAAAAGAAAGATTCCCAATTAAAAGGAAATGAATATGATATTATGTCTGGATAGAAAAATCCAGGAAAATCTACAACATGGAAATATGAATAGAAGTGAAATAAAGGTAGAAGAGAACAGCCTAGAAGTATAAAATTGGATCTTCTACAGATTTTCAATGAAGCAATGGGCCTAAAACATCTCTTGGTAGAACTTTAGAGGTAAACTTAACAGTAATGATAACATCATATTGATACTATTTAAAATCAATATGCAATATAGTTCTAGATAAGCTAAGCTTTTATAGCTTTATAAACAGCAAAAGCCAAGTCTTATAAATAAGGTCACCAAAAGTGCAGCAGATTTTCAAAGCATGTAAAGAATATTCAAACTCTTACCTTCAGGGATGTCAGTTCATCTGCCCACATTTCTATTATAGGAACAAGATGTTCAAATCCATAGTCTTGAACAAAGTCTTTGTTAAAATGCTGGGATTCTTTGCTCTGTTTATAAATTATTACTGGAGCTCTTGGATTGTGAATAATTGAATTGATGCTACATAGTACCTTCAAAAGAAGATAATATTTTGAGTTAAAATATTTATCCTAATTCTATGAAGTGACAGACATTAAAAGAATGTTTTCTTTATATTTCAACATGACACCATTTTCAGAGCGACTAAGTTCAGGTATTAAGAAACTCTTTAACACATTCCTGCTGGCTTGTACCATCACTGTTTAAAGCTGCCCGGCAATGAGACATGAGATTTATGACTGCCTTGTGAACATGTTAATAAAATTGATATTTGTAATCTGTTGGTAATACAGTAGTTTCATTAACATGTTAAATATATAACCAAATAAAACCAAAAACTTCACAGAAAAACTAAAATGAATTTGACTTGATAAGCAATTATGAATAACATAATCCACATGGAGAATAATAACCACCCAGACATTCTTAGCTACATTCTCTGCATTTCTGTTTCTGTCCCTCATATTTAAGCTAAGTAACAATACTAAGAAGGGCTTTTCCGGGCTGGCTTTAGCCCAGCGGTTCCTTCGAGTCTGGCTTCCCAACCGCCCGGGCCGATTAGTCCGGTGGTTCGAGACCCCAGGGTGCTCTCCAGTCCTTTTTTAAAAAAAAGAAGGGCTTTTCCAATGTTATATAACTTTAATTGAAGTTCACAGTGAAGACATTTACTAATTAAGTCTCATATATTCTAAAGAGAAGTCATGGACACATCATGTAGATTTGGGTAAGAGGTGATCAAATTAACTCTAAATGGTGATCCAAGAAAACGTTAGATGTTCATTAGACAGGCTCATCAACAAAGTGTCTTTAAAAGAATAGACAGAACTAATGAAAAACACTGTTGCTCTTTTCTTCCCATAGAAAGCTACACAAGCAGGTCTTTTCATAATCTGACTTTGAATATTTATTTATAAGCAATTTTTTTTCAGTGCAGGAGGGTACGTTTCAATATTTGACTTCTCTACTTAAATTTGTCTATGAATACCATTTTAATTAAAATTCTTCTACTACATTAGAAGCAGTAGTATCCTTTTGCACCTGCCATGCCAAAGGTCAAGAAGGTGGCAGGAGAACTCAAAGGGAACAGGGAACTGATACTATCCAAACTTCAGGAAATCAAAGGTACTTCTCATGAGAGTAATAGTAAGCTAAGTGTTATTACTTGCATGTTTAGCAGTTTGTATACATACTTTGTCTTAGACTGTTGGAAAAAATGATCTCAATTATTTCTGTTTATATTCTTGCATATTTGCACTTGGACATGACTCTGTGAGTCTGGCCTGGTTCTGGGCCTGGACTGGACCCTTGGAATGTGTCTGAATGTTATGCCAGCTCAAAGCCCAATTCTCAAGAGGGCTTGATCACTTTTGCTTTTGCTCTCTGCACTCTGTTGCTGACATATGTCAAGCCCAGATTGGACTGCTAGATAATGAGACACGTGGACCAGTCAGCCTCATTGCTGTGAGGCAATATTCACTGAACTCCCAGAAGCAGAGCCACTATACTGACTTGTATCTCACAGCAGATGCACAGCCAACATCACCCGAACTACCTAGTTGTTGAAGTACATTAATATTAAAAGTGCACAACAAAAAGGCTGTCTCTTTACATTGTGATGGGGTAAAAATACATTCTGGCCAACTAGACATTCTGGTAGAGTTAAGCTTTACTTTCAAAAGAAATGATTGCCTAAGACTAAAGGACCTGGGGGAAGTGAGGAATTCCTAAGAAGTCACCTGGAAAATGTACTGCTCACAAAATGAGTACTGCTATAGTCCCTAATTAGTGGACAGGAAATAACTAAACAAATATATACAGAGGCTGACAAGTTCTAAGATTTAGTTAGCAAGCAGAGATCCAGGATTACTGATGTATAGTTGTATTACAATACTTTTGAAGTGCTAATGTTTCAATTCAAGTCCAAAGGTGGGAAAAAAATGATGCCAAAGACAGCTAGGAAAAACAACCTCCTTCTTACTAATAGATAACTAGATGATTTCAGAAAGGTGCCTTGACCCATTCACAATAGCAATAAAAGCTGTTAAATATCTAGAAAACAAGCCTAACAAGAAATACATGAGAACTAAATTTAAATGTTAAACTTTATTGAACACTATGAAAGAGATCCTCCAAAAATCAGACATGTTTCTCAATAGGATGATTCAAAACTGTAAAGATATGACTTCTCCAAATATCAATCTGTAAAGTCAATCCAATGGGATTTATTTTCTAATTTGAAAAACTGTTCATCCCGAAGGAAATATTAGTTTTTATATATTGCCAATTAATTCAAAATTTAAAAGCCTATGTAGGCTCAACGAGGATGAGTGCAGGTCTGGTTCAAACAACCTGACTTAATTGCTCATCTATTCAATAAGTAATCTATAAACCAGTAAGGTTAGATTCCCTGTGATATCACATAGAAAATTAAATTTGACATGGATTAAATATCCAAACAAAAGCAAAACTACAAAAGAAAGCTACAAAAATAATTTACTTACGAAATAGCAACAATGAAAACAAAGGGAAAATAGCTTTGAGGGGAGCATTATCTTTTAAAATTCCTAATCAATACTTTTCCCTGCCATTACTATCTAGAGAATACAATGTAACAATGCTATCTGCATAGCATTTATGTTGTATTTGGTATAAAGATGCTATTTTACGTACATTTATTTGAGCATATGCAGATTTTGGTATTCACATGTATCATGAAGCTAACCTTCCACATATACCAAGGGACAACTATACAAGTATTCCTCAAGTGCTAATTAATCATACTGTAACCCAAACACAGGTCCATCATAAACATCACTGTTTTTTCAGCTATTCAATACCTGAAAGTATCTCTGGTCAATTAAAGCCTGTTGCTGGTTTTCTTTGTTGGCTTCATCTTTTTTCTCTGTGTCCTCAGTTTTTGTATAACTGATTAGCTCCTGTAGTCTAAAGGAGAGAGAAAAAAAATCAAAATAATACAAATGCTTTCCTAGACACTAGATTAAGATGATAAACTAAGTCAGTGATCCAGATGACCTTCCAAAAACCTTGACATTTTATTTTTATGTGTGTGCAATGTGTATATATGTATTTGTGCATAAAGAAAAATTTAAGTCAGTGGCACTAGAAAACAGTAAGGTCCTCCCAACAGACTGTAAATTAAGAAATCCCTGCAAAGTGACCACAGGGGATCTGACTGAAGAAAAAAAATTTTTCTAATCACCCTTTAACACCAATGAAAAATAGTTTGATAAAGAAATACGACAAGACATGAAAATAATTTCCACCCCAAGGTGCTCCAAGCTTAGAGGATATAAGAAAAGGGGAACAATCAGCATAAGCAGGACAAGCGTTTGAGCAGTGAAACAGGAAGACTGAAACCTTCTGTCTAACTTGCCTTCTGAGGTATCTATTGCAATGTGACTTGTATAATATGCTGCTGAACATTCCCTCATTTCCTCTCGAATTGGTGCTTCAGAAACCTGTGTTGCGACAGCCTCAGTGCTGGCAAACTTATGGCAAGAGTGTTATCTGTTTTCCTTCTAAGACAAAAATATGAGTTATTTTTTTCTAAACTAAAACTTCAGTTTTCAGGTTTAACTGCAATGTTGGTACTTTGCAATAAATAAGCAGGTTTTGAGTTGCAGTTTGGGCATTTGTCTCCATAATTTGCAAACACTGGACTAGGTGATACCCATAAATATGTTATGTTTTGTATTCCCCAAAGCAATCCACAGGCTTGCAGGATACAAAAGCTCCCTAGTAGCTCAGAAATACTGCACGTTTAATGCAGATACTTATTCTATATAGCCCGGGGCAATGGCTATTTCTCTGTAGACTCTGAGAACGTCAGAAAACTGCACATCCAATTAAAAATATGCTGTGCTCTTCCTGAGTTAAAAACATCATACCACAGTAATATGCATCACATGTTTATATAGCAGCACAATTTATATTACCTGGATCTTGGAAACAGCCCACATATCCATCAAAAGATGAATGGATAAAGAAAATGTATTTATATATAATGGAGAACTACTCTGCCATAAAGCATCTTTAAAACAACAACGAAAAGCATAAAAATGAAAAAAGAAAGTTGTACCAAATAGTGAAAAGGACACTTGTTTACAATATGAATGTTGAAATAAAAGAGGGCAGACCATCGATTTGTTCAGCAGTTGAGAATGTACACACTGGGTGACTCTGAGCCTGCCCATCAGTGATTACAGCCAACCAATCATAAAACACTATCAGTTCTACCGCCAGTATTAGTCCAATTCTGAACACTTCCAGGCACCTTTACCACTGCCATCACTGACCATATCACAATTTCTCCCTCTTGTCCACACTCATACAGTAGCTACTTTCCCATTGTTTTACATTTAGTACTTATATTGAAATGTCTCATTTATTCCTCCATTACCCTTTTCTCTTTGGGACATCTCTATGAGGGTGGGGACCTTTTCTATTTGGCTTATTTCTGCAACAAGAATCTAGAATGCCAAGCAGATTACATTCTACATGTACTCAAGACATCAAGCAATAATGGAAAGGCAAAAATTATTCACTGAATAATGAATGCATCCTTTCCAAATCTACTTTTTATTTTTCCTCCCAGCTATATTAATTTAATAGTTAATTCCTGGATGCTCACATTTGCCTTTCATTGTGATACGTGTTGCCACAAGGAGGAAAGACAGCTCTCTATGAAAACTGAATAAAGATATACTGATACAACTCTCTCACATATTTAATGCATATGTTAGCTCACAGAATTTCAAAATATTTCATTCCAATGTCCTCAAATTATTCAAACAATAAACATATAATATTTAGGATATACTTCTCCTATTATTTGAAGATCAACTTTTGAATGTTTGCTTTTCAAAGCCAGAGAGAATAAAAGTGGTGAAGAATGGTTCATTTGATGCCTTCTGGTACCAAGTGACAAGACTTACTTTAAAATCTTCAAATCATGACTATGAACAAGAAAAATTGGGAATTTGTCATCTGTAATTTCACTGATTCTCTTGCAATTCATTATTTCTAAAGAATTTTCTATTTAAAATCTTTTTCCTTTTCCCCTATTACACTAGACAACTACCTTTTCCTTGTTTGCACTGAAGATGAACATACAGCCAAATCCAATACACTGGATGTTGCTTTACAACTGTGAAATGAGAAACATCCCCCTTTAATGTCATCTCCTCCACGTGGGTGATAATTCCAGACTCACATGCTACTGTGAGTTAGCATGAGGTAAGCTGATGGGTAAGTAAAAACAAACTACAAAAGGCCAAACCCTAATAAAAGCTGTAACTTTATTAAAACATAGTTACTTTATGTTTTTCTTGAGGGCTTTCTCCAGTTTCTTCACTTGTTGTTTATAAAGTCTTAATTCATGTTGTGTGGGCCTGTAGAAAATAAAAGAATGCATTCAATTTATTGGCTAAAACTACATAAATACTTGCTACTTGATTCAAATAACATTCTTAAAATATCTCATGACTGTTAATGAGGTGTTTTCTGGCCACTTGGATTTTTTTTTGCATAATTCCTTATTCAATCTTTTTCTCTTTTTTGGTAATTTAGTATTTGATTTTATAGTGAAATACTTCAAATATACAGATATTAAGAGCATATTATAATAAATCCTCACTTATCTACACTTAGCTTTATAAAACGCTGAGATTTGTTACAAATCTTTGATTAAAACAAATACATACAAAAAACTCAATGTGTCCCTCAATGTTATTATTCTCCTTTTTAGCCACTATCCTAAAGTCACTTTATTATTCCTGAACATGTTCTTAATTTTTACTATATATTTATATAATCATAAACTTAGACCTTATGTTAGGACAGGCTTTTAGACTTTATATAAATTTTACAATTTATGTTTATGTTACAAACTGTTAATGGCCCTTTTCCATGAAAGTGTAAGCTTCAGGGGCAGGGAATGTAGCTCATGGGCACAGCACTTCCCTGGTACACACAGGGCACTGAGCTCAATCCCCTGCCTAGCTGAAAACAAAATATAAGCTTTATGAGAAGCGAGGGTCACTGTTTTATTCTAGAGCTTGGGACACTGGCTGACTAGTGAGAAGTCTTGGTAATGTTCCTTTCTCACTAGTCCTTACTAGTCAGTGTGATGTTACCCTCTTGGACCTATTCCATTCTGCATATGGTCTTCTGTTGTGTTATTTTTCTTGTTCTCCCCTAACACAGAGATAAAAAGAAATCACACGACATCCTAAAGCAACTTGGGAATGAGAAATTCATGGGTATAATATTGGATCCAATATAGTAAATAATAATTTATTTTAAAATCACTTAAATTTCAAAATGTTTTTATCTAAGTATGTGATGTGATAGACATGTTAATTTGCTTATTACACAATGCATTCATAAATCACATTGCTTTGTACTCCATAACATATGCAACTATAATTTTTTGATTTGTAGTTTCAAATTTTAAATTTAAAAAATTATCCTGAGTCAAAGAAAGCAAAAAAAAAAAATGTTACATGCCTCCATTTATAAAAAGTACAGGAAGTACAAGTTAATATAAAACTAATGTAAAAATGACAGATAACAGATCAGGAAGAAGAGATTACAAAAGGGACAAGAGAAGACTTTTAGATGATTATTTTAATCACTGCCTCATGGGAGACGTACATCAAAACTTTTACATTGTGTAATTTGAATGTATGCAATGCATTGTACATTAATTATACCTCAACAGAGCTAATTTTAATCTTTGAAATTCTAATCACTTTTATCTTCAACATGGACTCCTGTTTTCTTATTTCTCTTGCCCATCAATGAGTTCTTAGTCCATCATTTATAATGAGACATATGACTACAATGAATATGAGTTTGAAGTACTCAGGATTAGTTTCAGAGTAACAAGTCTAGCATGATTCATATAACATTTCAACTACGTATGTGCTTTTAAACAGTAAAGAAACATTACTTGAGCTTTTCTCACCTGTTTTCTAAATCTTTTTGGAGTTTTAGCTTTTCACTTAAAAGTGCATCAATCTTAGAATTTGATTCCTTGAGTTGATTCTGTAATGACTAGAACACATTACACAGAAAAATAATTAACTTTCCTAGGTAATTATTTTACTTCAGGAAAAAGATTTGGTATTGTTTTCATACCATTAGAAGGCCTTTGTAAGGTCGTGAAACATTAAGATTTCTGTAATCCTTTTCTTCTTCTGATTGACTTTCATCTTTTCTATATTGCCTATGAAAAGACATATGCAATGTATTTCATGAAACATCTACCTCTGAAGAAAAATACCAAGCTAATAAAAATTAAAGCAATCTACTAAGTGTTTAATAAACGTTAATTATGCTACAATTAAGCCAAACTTCCTCAGTCTCAGAGAATATTAGAACACACTTCTACCTATTATATGACATATCTGTTTACTATTCCTCTACTTAGAATGTATGAGGACCAGAATTTAGGTTTGTTCAACTTTTTCTCATTGCCTAGAAGATAATGAAAAAAACACTTGGTGAATAAACATAACATGTGAAACACCCACGGCCTAAATTGCCAGGTTCTAGGAAATCACTATATCAATCCCGATGACCACCAGGTGTGATGGCACACACCTGTAATTCCACCACTTAGAAGGTTTGAGGCTGGGGGATTACTGTTGAGTCCTAGGCCAGGCTGAACTACACAGTGAAACCCTTTCTCAAAACAACAGCAAAAATAAAAAACCAAAAAAAACCTCAGTATTTTCATGAACACTGTGCTATGTTGTATGGTAATCTCTAGCTAAGCTATGGCCAATAAGCATTTGAAATACTACTTATACAACTACAGAACTGAACTTTTTAATCTCACTTTAATTAAACTTTAAATTCAAAAGTAGCAGTAGTATTTTACTCATAAAACCCAAGCAGAAGATAACTAAAGAAAAGGATAAACTTTTTATTTTATGCTTTTTCAGATTTTACCTATCCCTTAACTGAAGCACAATTCACATCTGCTTTAGTTGGTTCCCTGGTCACTCCATGGAAAATTCTCCTGCTCTAAACCCCTATATATTGCTGTATATAGTTTTTTGTAAACTCAATATGACATTTTCTATTAGTGTTCAAGTCATGTTATTTTTCTTACTCATATGTTTATTTTTTATCTTTCTTATTGGACTGGAAACTGTCAGAAGGTAATTATTCATACCTTTGTGTAAAGATTTTCCTAATTTTAGATTCATAGTAGTCAATCAAGCAAAGCAACCTAAAAGAGATAATAAATTATATCACTATTCTAATTCAAATTATAGTGAAAAAGTACAGATTATCTGGAAGGCTTAACACATTCCTGCTATGTAGTTCAGGTTGGGCTAAAACTTATGATAATCCTGCCTCAGCCTCCTGAGTGCTGCCATTACAGGCATAAACCACTGGCTCTGGCACAGGATTTTAAATTTTTAAATTTTCGCTGGAAGAAAATATAATGAAAGCCAGGCATGGTGGTGCACACCTGTAATTCAGCACTTGAGAGGGTGAGGCAGGAGGATCTTTGTGAGTTTGAGACTAGCATGAGCTACAAAGTGAGCTCAAGCTCAGCCTGAACTGCACAGTGAGACCTTGTCTCAAAAAAAGGGGTGGGCTGAGGATTTAGCTCAGTGGCACAAGCGTCTGCCTAGCAAGCGCGAGGTTGTGAGTTTGATCCTCAGTACCAAAAAAAAAAAAAAAGTCATATTTCATACTAACTTTAATAACAGATTTTACTCACATATTACACCTTAAATGTATATTTGTCTTGTCTCAATATAATTCTACATGTAGCAATTCTCTCACAAAAATATTTGCCCAAGAACGCATCTCTATAAAAATTATTCACTGCGTTATCAGTGAAAAAGATACCATGTGTCCTTCAATGGAGAAAAGGTTAAATTATGACACATTATTTCTTATACTGCATATATATGCAGTGTTGGAAGAAAAAATAACTTTCCATGTCCAAATAAGAACTGAAGGGGGAAATAATGCATAATCTACTTTTGTCTAAAAAAAGAAAACATTACACATGAATTTATATATGCACTGAAAAAGAACTCTATAGCCCTTTATCTGGGGATAAGTGTGATCTACAGGACAGTGCGTGGAAGGGCAGTGCTGCTCATCACACTGACTAACCTCAGGAGGCACTAAAATGCCAGAAGTTCATTAATGAATATGGTGATGATACAACACAATTAAGAATGTCTTGTACTGCAGACCTCATGGATTATTTGCCATTCTCATTTCGTTTTTCCTCTATGAAGAATTGTTTCTTCTATTTCCTGCTAAAATTGTACAGTTGCTAACAGTCTAGCTGAAGTTCACTCCTTTAGGAAGCCTATCTAGTGCTGGGTTCAATCTGCAGTACTAGAAAATAAAAGTGGACAATCCCTGGCCCACGCGGCAAATGTACACCTAAGTTAACCTGACTTCATCTGATGTAGCAAAGTCTCTCAGTATTTCTCTCAGCTTCTCATCTTTCATCCATAGGGCTGTTTTATGGCTTTTATTTCCCATTTGCCCTTATCTCTGTTATTTTCCTCTTCCTCCCTCTGTAACTGTCTTTTTTTTTGCCCCCCTTTCTGTTCTTCTTTACTGCCCTTTTCTTTCCTGCTTCCCTCTTTTCATTTTTTCACATCTATTGCTAACTACATTTTTATCTTTTGTTGTGAATCATTATAAACTTTTTTATCTTCACAAGAATGAAAACTGTATACATGTATATTGTCTATTGTTTCTCAGATAATCATTTAGACCACTTACAACTTTAAGTTTTTACTTGTATGTGACCTAATTTTATTTTTATAGTACAACGGAAACACCCAATCAGTATATTCTCAATCCTAGTATGTAAATACCTAAGACTGGCTAAAATGCTATCAGTTATACATTAAATAAACACAATTGGCTAAAATGTTATCAGTTATACATTAAGTAAAAAACAAAGTGCTAGCTTTTATAGAAAAAGGGAGAATGTGAATATAATACTCATACACACATAGAAAGTATTCCAACATATTTTGGACAACCATATTTTGAACGCATGCACAGTGGAATATATTACTAATATCAAAGAGCATTGCAAAGAATTTTAAATTTCATTCAATAGGTTTTTTGTTGGCAAATTTATTATTATGAAAAGTGTTACTTATTATAGAATGAAGCAAATAAGTAGTTATAATATTGTTCTTAGAAATAATGATTTTCCTTGCAGAAGAATAGTTACAGGGGTAGGCTTACAGCTCAGTGGTCAAGAGCATGTGTAAAGTCCTGGTTTCCATCCCTAACTTCACAGAAAAATAATAAAAATTTCAAAATTTTAATAATTGAAAAGTAAAATCTACAGTTTAAATTAAAATGCTATAATATTAATGTAACTTGAAAAAACATCTATACAGATTTGGTTGAACTTTTCCCCAGAAATATATAATTCCTAGATCCACTGAAAAGTTTAAAAGTCATTGACGACACAGTCAAAATGCAATTCAGTGCCCATAGAGTGGTTTTTAAAATGGTTCCTTACTAAAAGGAATCAGTTCTTTTGAGAAACAGCTGACAACTAGGGAATTATTAAGTGGAAATTTTTGGTGCTAGAAAACCTGGATAGCCAAATGGAGAACAATAAAACTAGACCCCTATCACTAATCAAAAAAATCAATTCCAAAGAGATTAAGGAGTTGAACTAGAAAACTGCTATAAGAAAACAAGACAACTGCAATATTGGATGGGCAAAGATGTTTTTTGAAGAAAACCCCAAAAACACAAGAAACAGAAACAAAAACAAACAGGATTATAGCAAATCTCAGAGATTAGACATAGGAGAAAAAAAAAAAAAAGGTCAACAGAGTGCATACAACCTACAGAAACGGAGAAAATATTTGCAAGCAGCACACCTGAAAAAGGATTGATAACCAGAAAAAACAAGGAACTCTGAATAACAGATCTCAATAGACATTTCTCAAAACAGGATATACAAGAGCTAACAAGTTTATGAAAAAAATGATTCATATCACTAACCACCAAGAAAAGAAAGTGAAAAGTACAATAAGATGTCACCTCACTCCAATGAAAGGCTATAATCAAAAAGACTAAATGTAATGAGAGCTGGAGAGAGAAAAGGAAACTTTGCACATTGTTGACGAGAATGTAAATTTACAGATATTATGGGAAGCAGTACAAAGGTTCCTCAAAACGTTAAAAGAGAACTACTATTTGACCCAGCAGTCGCACTACCAGACATATACTCAAAGGAAGTATCAGTGTGTCAAGAAGCAGCTGTACATCCACGCTTGTGCAGCATTATTTCCAAGAGCTAAGAACTGGAAACAATAGTGTCCAGAATGAATGTACAACTTTTATGTTTTTATGGGCCAGTTAAAAATTAATGTTTAAAAACAGCTCTCAAAAACTGGAAAAAAAATTAAAGAATTGGGAATTTAATTTTAAATGTTTAGTGTTATTTTTAATAAATATCTAATTTCATTCTTCAGAAAAGTGCTAAGGCAAAAGAACTGTATAGAATGAGCAAAAAGCAGAATGGAAAATCCTCCTGTTGATAAGAGACAGAACCACTCCCAACATATAATCAGGTTTTTAAAAAGTGAATCTAGCCATATTATCATATCATAAATATTACTGTTTATCCAAGACTGTGTGAGGAACTCTTTTGCAGAGATAGGCAAACACTCTGTTTTGAGTGATAACTCGTTCTTCTTCCTCTTTTTTTAATCGACAGATATCCTTTTGCAAAGAAGCAATAGTCTGATGCTGTTCCAGTTGTTTCTTCTTATAATGCTGGCATTTTGACTGTAAGAAAAAATTTAAAAACATAATTATGAAATGCACACTTAGAACATGCTGTCCTAATGACATCTTCAGTTTCTATTGAGCCATTGCATTCAAGAAATAAAAGAAGTATAGCTTATAACGGAATGCATTTAACAGTTCTTGTTTAACTACTTCTTTTGGTACCAGGGATTGAACTCGTGACCTCGCACCTGCCAGGCAAGCACTGTGCTGCTAAGCTATATCCCTGGCTCCCATTGAACAGTTCTTAAAATGGAATTAAAATATTCATAAAACTGGTAATTTTGGGCCAGGGATGTAGTACACACCTGTAATTCTAGCACTCAGAAGGCTGAAGCAGGAGGATTCCTGTGAGTTTGAGGCCAGTGTGGGCTACATAAGCCAGTTCATGGTCAGCCTACATTATATAGTGAGACTCTCCCTTAAAGGAACAAAAAATACCAAAAAAAAAACCCCCAAAACTAATAATTTTATGTTTAGGTTTAGATAGGAACAATAATCAGGCAGAGACCAATATTAAGAATGTTCAAGAGAATCAGGAATGAAAGTTAAGGTTCGTAAGTGAAGAATGAAAATGTAGAATTGCAAAGAGTGTGGTCAGCTTGGACATTCAGGCAATGTGGGAGATTGCAAACTCACAGTTAAATCCATAACCAGAAACAATCAGTATACACCCTAGGATTTATACAAGAGAACCCTAGACACTCTCTTCCCTTATTTTAAGCAATATATTATCTGTCTAGTTTCCCTATTCTATAGTTTCTGTCCCTCAGTTTGAAAGCTCATCAGCAAATTCTTGATCACTCTTATTAATATATTGTATAAAGCTCAATGATAAGCGTTTCCCTGTATGACTTGCACATTATGAACATACATTCTCTTCAAAAAAGGACACCCATATCTAAGCATGTGTACATCTGCCCACTGTATCAAGTTTGTTGAAACTTCGCAACTTTCAAAAGGATTTCATTTTCTTCTGTCAAGTGCCTCGTTGAAATTATCATTTCTCTAATTTCTTTATCTAAACTTTAAGGTTCTTCTTCCACATAGGAAATTAAAAATTAGGTTATGACTGAGCTTACTCTCCAGAATAAGAGGCCTTTACCTTAGTTTTCAAATGGTTCCTATAAACACTTTTTGAAATACTACACCCTTTATAACAGACAACCTGGGACATCAAAAAAACATCATGAACTATGACCTAAACAAACAAGACACGATAGATCAAATCTACAAAGAATTTCTATATTGGATTGGTCACACATTGACAACATAAAAACCATACTACTATATACTTAAAGAAGTATATACTTAAAGAATTCCTGTTCTGTAAATAAGATTAGGTAACTCAGACCGACCTTTCTACTGGAAAAATTTTATCAAAATGTACTTTAAAAATCTGTTTGAAAGTGCTAACAAGGCAGTGAAAATTATAGAGTTATGACTTTGGAGGAAAGGAAACAAAGTATGGAGTCCAGCTTCTGAAGCCATATAGCCTATGTTTTGAAATATCTGAAAAGGTATCATGGAAGGTGAAAGTGAACAAAGACATTTTACTATTTTAATTATTATATTCTATTTTATTTACTGTATTCTATTAGCCTGGCAGGACTATGGACAAAATTAGGCACTGTGGTCATGCAAAATGAAGATGGCCCTAGGAAAGTTCTCACTACATGCTAAGAATAAGGGTGAAATATGGGGCTGGGGATTTAGCTCAGCGGCATAAGCACCTGCCTTGCAAGCAGGCAGTCGTGAGTTCGATCCCCGGTACCGATAAAAAGGAAAAAAAAGACCAAAAAAAAAAAAAAAAGAATAAGGATGAAATAGAACTAGACCAGTTCTCTTTGGGACTGAAGCTTAGCTTCAATTGTCACAGTCTCTGAAACTGAAATAAGAGGACCCCAAAGTACTAGTGTACCTCGATACTATTAGAAGCAAACATGAGCCAGGTGTGATGGTACAAGAGCGAATACTGATGATATTAATACTCTACACCAACATGAATTGTCTTTCTCCCCATATACCTTCCAATATAGCTCAAATGTGATTTCCTTGATTTGCACCACAGACATACAAAAACAGTGTTTCTTGCTCCCAATTGAGAAATATACAGCACTAAACCATTCTAAAATTGAAAGCGATTATATACTAAAAATAGAAGAACATGTCTTTTTTTTCCCCCCCAAGCAATTTTTTTGAATTGTGCCAAGAATACATAGGCAGCACAAATGTATGAACAGGAGAAAAAAATCACATGTACAATAATTTTTAAAAAGTGAAGGTTAATCTTGGGAGATATCAGTTCCCCTCTCCCACCCTTCCAGACTTCCAGCATTTCCATGATGGTTAAGCCTCTACTAACTAGTATTAAAAAAAGGAATGCAGGAACTTTTGCAAAAAGAAAAAACAAAGAAACCCCAATGGTGAAAACAAAAGAGAACCGTTTTCCTGCTTAGGTGGCTCTTCCTGGGCCCCTGATTAGGAGGCATGCTGAGCAGTGGAGAAGCACAACTTCAGAGTGTAAGGGTATAGGCCATCTGGGTTCTTCATCTGGTAATGGCTCAGGAAGCCCAAGGTCTCCAGGGCATCACTCTTGGATTCCCACTCCAGCAGCCCAGAAGAGCTGCGCTCACTTTTGCCTGAGAATACTTTCACAGAAGTTGGTCGCTTCACTCCCAGCTCATCACAGATCTCGAAGAAGTTCTCCTCAGTCACCTCCAGGGGGCCATTGAAGAAGTGTAGCACATTGCTAGGGTGCTGGATGTGGTTCTTGGCAGCCTGCTCTGGGGTGGAGAACCGACTGTTCCTTGACTCGTTGAACTGCAAGAGCCACCTTCTAGCCCGTATGACTGACCAGGCATGATGGCTGGCTGCTTAGAGACACAGACACTCATCTTCTACCCAAACATAAAGTTGTTGCTCAGATGAGTAATAGCCTGGTCCACAGCATAGCCATCAGCCATCTCCACCACAGCAGCCCCCGGCTTGCTTTTCATGAACTTCACCTTCTCCACATTGCCATACAAGCAGAAGACATTGAAGACTCGATCACAGTTCATCTTAGATTGATCCAAGCCATAGACCATAAGCACAGGGTTGTCGGTGTGGGGACCATACTTGGGTGGTGGGGGAGGGCGTAGGGGGTGCCCACACTTGTGGCCATAGTGGCTTGGGCCTCGACAGTGACCCCCCACAGGTGGGCCTATCCTCCCTTCGTAGTGAGGTGGGGGGGCCCGTAGCCCTCATCATGGTAATGGCTGTGGTACCTACCATGGGGCCCTCCATATTCTGTGGGGTGATCTCCCAGAAGAGGGGGCTGCCTCTGGCATTTGTTGGGGTTACTGCCAGGGTCACCTTGTCCACTGAGGTTGGGATTTGTGTAGTCCCACGTATCTTGATCATTCTTGAACACATTCAAGCGCGTAGGCTTTGCATATTCAATTTTCGGAGTGCAACAGCCAGAATAAATGTCAGCCCCATTGAGCGAAGCCTCGGCTCGCTGGGCACTTTGCACAGAGTCAAATTCCACCGTGGCCTGGACTCCATTAGAAGAACATGTCTTAAGGTGTGAAATAATTTTGTCTAGGAGCATTTCATCTTGCCCATCATTCCCTTTTACCAAATAAACACCAAACTTTTAACAGAATTTTTTATTAGAAAACCAAGTATTCAATGTTATGATATTGCCGTTTCTATAAAAACAACTCACTTTTATACATATAAAGTTCTATGCTTATCAGATATTCAATAAAGATAGCCGTTTATTAGGAAAATAGTCTGGATTATAGATATAAATCTGTGAGTCATGAATACAGAAAAAAAGAAAAGGTCAAAGTATTCAGCATTAGGGAATTTCAACACCAAGATGTTAGGGAGACGAGAAGAACCTTCAATAAAGGAACTAAATGACCAGTGAAATAAGACAGAAAAACAAAGAAGGTATTCTGGAGACCAAACAACAGGTTATTTCAAGAAAGCACAATGAAAGGTAAAATAAGGTAAGAACCACTGAATTAGGCAACATGGGAGTCACATGGGACCATTACAAGCCACTTTTATACTAATCATCTAAGAAAACACATAATTCAGTACCTGTAAAGTTCTATGCTCCTTTTGAAGATCTTTCATTTGATTTTGTTGCTGGCAGACCCTATTTACAGATTCATCTTCCAATTCACCAATTTTGCATTTCACACTCTCCATAATTTGTTCCAAGTCATTAGCTCGTTGTTCCTGATGTGCTGCTCGGTTTTTTTCTAGTTGAAGCTCATTCCTAATTTGATAGACACAATTCCAACCCTTATTATTAAAAATAAAACAGATCACCAACATACCCACTGAACAATTTACTTTCTAAAATGTTGCTGCATTCTTAATGCTGTATTTTTGTTTTGGTGCTAAGGACTGGACAAGACACATAATAAGCACATGTTCTACCACTGAACTACACCCCCAGCTGTCCATTCTAGAACAGAAGCTAAGAAACAGACAATAATACCATTATATTATTTATGCTATTAGCTAAATATGTGTTTATTGAAATTTTAACTATTTCCCTACAAAAATAGTTTAAAATGTTAACATTTAATCAAAATGAAAAATTAAACTTTAGGATCCTTTTCAAAGGATCTTTTTAGGATACAAACAATTCAGTTTCTTACCTAAGCTGCTGATTAGTTTCTATGAGCTCTTGTATCACATTCTGTTGACGATCTGTTTCTTCCACCAACATTTTCAAATTCTGCCTCATCCTTTGTGATGACTGTTTATCAAAAATGATAAGATCTACATTTTAAAAATATAATACAGACAGTAAAAATAAAGGTAAGGTAAAAACATTTTAAAATAAAAAAATTAAAAAAATTTTTTTTTTACTTTGTAGAACAAAAATAAGATCTGATTACCTGTAAGATCTGTTCTTTTGACTAGGGACAAAGGTTTTAATCCATGCCTCAGTAACAGCACATTTGTGATTTCCCATTCTGCTTCCTCCTGCTACAATTACAAGAACAGAGAAAAGGATCAACTTCAAGATAGGAAGTGAAGAAAAATCTTACATATAATTTCTTATGCTTTTATAATAGAAAAACTTTTGCTCCAAAGAATTTTACTACATGTAAATTTTATGCTTATAACTAAAACACATATATAATTTCTAACAAAATAAGCAACAGACTACAAGTTTTCAAATTAACACAAATTATTGCATTATACAGAATACACATGTATAGGCATTAGTGGACAAATTAAAACAACAAACAATAACAAAGATGCTTGTAATTTCTATGAACCAAATAGATTTAACTGAACCAGACCAAGCTCCATCAGAGGAAATAGATGCAAACTAGGTAATATTAATTAAAAAGAAAAATCTAAATCTCTCAGAAGTAAGTGCCACTTTAATGATTGGTAGGATGACAAAAAAGAAAAAAAAAATCAACACGTGGCTGACTACACAAAGATAACAATTTACACAGTTGCTTGTATAATGGACAAAGTTTAACCATACAGAAGAGCCTATCAACCTGAATAATAGATTCAAATAGAATCGCCCTGAAACAGTCAAATCTCATTATCTCTAATTCTAAATTTACAACTTAAAAAAAAAGAGTACTCTAAATGTCTGAAATCAATAAAAACATTATAACAATAAGAAACAAGAAAAAGAAAAGGGCATAAAGATCATATACAATTTTTTAAAAGCACACTTGGGGGTTGGGGGTATAGGTCAGTGGCAAAGTACATGCTTTAAATGTTTGGGTGAATCCCTTAGTTCTATCCTCAGTGCTCCACACACAACAAAGTAAAAAATTTGGACAACGGACAAAATACAAAGAAAAGTACTATAGTCTTCATATCTAAATGCCTCTGGATATTAAAGAGCCTATCATCTCAAAATAGGAGATGCCTGATGGTTCTCTGAAATAAGTTTATTTTTCACTACTAATATTTCCTCCTTATTTTAATATTTCTCTCTCACACAACTTTTCACTCCTTTATGCTTTAGGTCTTCAGATCAAAGAGCTCAACTATTTTGGTGGATGCAAAATTATCACTGATACCTGAAAAGGAGCCAAAAGCTCTGTATGGGTATCTCAGTGGAAGTTTACTGTAACTCATTACAAATAAAATACTCTTACAAAATAAGGTTATACACTTCAAATAATATTCTTACCTGATAGCTCTTGGATCTTAATGAATAAATTCTACCAATGGCAAGAGATGTTATTTTTCAAAGTAGGTGCTATAAACACCAACCTAACACGTACTAAATAAGAAGGAAAACCTTGAATACTGACTCCTCCTTTTGGAGTCACAAGATTGTGAGGTCATATTGTGATAAAAACATTTAATAGTCTTCCACGCGGAAGTCCCCAAAATTATTTGATCGAAGATCTTTATAATATCAGATTTTTCACATTTGTAAACCTAACCTTTTTTTGGCACATACTCTGAGAAACAGTGACTTAAAATATTTCAAGTTTACCTGTTTTTCAATCATGAATCTGTCTGATAATTGACTGGATTCCTGGGATTGAGGGGTTGCTGGAGGCACAGTTTCTCTTACAGAATCAAAAGAGGTAGAGGTTGGCAATAAAATAATTTGAGTTGCCTAAATTATAAAAAATAAAATAAGAGTTAAAGGACATTAGATTTAAAACAACCCACTACTCTTGCAGGGCAAATCAGGTCATTCCTGTAATATTTATTGAATAAACCCTATCTTACAATGTTTTCCGGGGCGGGAGATGTATTATAGGGTTTTACACACACATGGAATGACAGAGAAAACTTTAACTAGACAATGTAAAAAAGATGTGACAGTAGTAAACTATCTTTTTGAAGTTGTCAACCAAACATTTAAAGGAACTGTATTTGACAAAAAATTACAAGCCAGTCTAACAAGTCATTGGACTCCAAAGATAAATGGAGTACCACTTTGTTAGGTGGTCCTTATTTCTAAGTACAACAACAAAGCCTTCTCGGACATGAAATAATTTGTATGGTCCTTTCTAGCATCACTCACTCTTATCTGAGGCTGCTATTTTAGAGCAAAGAATTTCCTTGGTTTCTCTGATACAGAGACATACTTCTTTTCCAGAAGTAAAACCACACATTCATAAGGTTAGAATTTCAGAGTTGGGGGGAGTCTTGGAAAGATAAGAGGATAGGGACTGTTAATTCAGAAAAGACTGGTCTCAGGGAGACAGGAAGACAACCAGAAAGGAAAAGACATAAATCAACCATGTATGCCAAGGAGGTCAGACACTTGAGAGCATAATGATACCACAACTGCTCCAACAAACTGCTTTTGGCACCCACACTGCCACCTTTGTGCATTTTAAAACATCAGATCAGGCATGTAGAACAGCTAAAAAAGAGAAGAATTCACTTTTTCCTCTAAAGACATTACCAATTGCAAAGAAGAGCTGCAAAAACAAATGAATGCCAAAAGTCAAAGTTACTCTAACTTAATTGTGGCCTAGAAGGGCTAAATGCTCAAAATAATGATGAATCAGAAGCAAACCAGTTCTCCCATGAACCTAAACATTAGTTTCCCCTCTTCTAGATTATCTCATTATGTCAAGATGATTCCAGATTGTACTTGCAAGCATTTGGCAGAAGTAAATGAAATCTTCTCTGAAGAAAGGACTCAAACTACCTCCACAGAAATATTTCAAATACAACATCTAACCAATCAAAGATAACCATGAAAATAAGACACAAGGAGAACATAAAAATGTAAAAATAGAAAACTGACACTGTAATTACTGAGTATATCATAAATATGTTTACAGTGCTCAATGCCTAGTAAATTTATGTTGGCATAGTTTCTTTGAAGAAAATAAAGAACTAGAGAGGTGTAAAATATTCTCAATGGGTACCTCAGAACTCAGTATCCTTATAGCTTAAAACCAAAACTCAAAAGTATTTTTCTTAGGGGCTGCAGAAATAGCTCATAATAGAGTGGGTTTGATTTCCAGGACCACAAAATTTATTGATCAATTCACCAGCAGCTTCAAGTAAATTTGGGTTAATACACAGTAGTAAAATGTCATAGTTTAAATTTTAAATGTCTTCCGAAGACTCGTGTGCTTAAGGCTTTTTGGAGATGTGACTGGATCATGATGGCTCTAATTTCATCAGCAGATTGATCCACTGATGAGATTAGTGGCATTATTGGGAAGTGATGTGTGCTGCTTTTTTCATTATTGAGACAAAATTAAAGGAAGAAAGGTTTATTTTGGCTCACAGTTTGTAGAGTTTTTAGTCCATAACTAGCTGGCTGCAAGACAAGAAGGCATGGCAGCGGGGCATCACACAGCAGGCAGGAAGCAGCAAAAGATAAGCAGCAAGGGGCAAGTGATGACAGGATAGCAGTGCTCTTTCTGTCTTTATATTCTACTCAGGCTATACACCCTTAGGGCAGGGAGCACTCCCACCTTGGGTGGGCCTTCCCATTACCCACACCCCAAAATTATACCAAGCCAATCAGTGGACTCCTTTAGTAATCCCACACCCTTAATCCCAGCATCACACACCAGATCCAGCCACCTCTGAAAAGGCCCACCTATGACAGACAGCATGAGGCTTTGGAGGACATTTGGACACAAGCCATAACATGACAGAAATAGGAAATAGGACCTACTTAAGGGAGCAGAAAATGGTGTCCTGACGCTATAGTATTTTTTCTCTCCCTCTGCTTCTTGGCTGCCACAAACTGAGGAACTTTGCTCCTCTATACCCTTCTGCCAGGATGGTCTGTCTCACCTCCGGCCCAGAAATAAAGATGCTAACTGGCCATTCATTGAAATCTCTGAAACTATGGGCCAAAATAAAACTTTAGTGTGTTTCTCTCACATAATTTGGTCAGTGACCAAAAGCTAACACAGAGAGCTGATAGTTTTAACAGAAAAATGGCGACCGAGCAAGGTAGGAAACTAAGGCTGAAGATGAAAGGAGGGGTTTAACTAGATGGGAAATTTTTCTCTACCTCCTAAAAATACCACTTCTTTTAGGATTTAAATTACTAGTAAGTATCCTTGCCAAGTGGTCAGGATTATTGTTTTTATTCATCACTTCACCTCATACTCCCCTCTTACTTGTATATATTATAAATATAACTGTATACTTAAATACATCATTATATACTTAAATGTTTTTATGTTTATATATGTACACATACAGTATATACATAAATATAATTTTAGACGTAAATTTATTTAAAATTTATGGAGGCAAAATGTTAAATAAGCATAAACTTGTAACAAGGTTTACTGAAAAAGTTGACAACTATTACCTCTTTGTGATATTTTTCATTTCAGTTTCATAGAACTTTCAGCCTAAAATCTCTCATGTATTACCTCAAAAACAAGTGATATTTTCCCCCGTGCTTTGTACTATCAACTGTATTATCTTTTCTTTAGTTACTTAAAGTCATATTTATGATTTGTTCTTTCGCATAACACTGAACAAATATGTGATCCAGAATGTTTTTCTGTTATGTGGCAAATTCACTGCCTCTTTAAAGAGGAAATAGAGAACAGCAGATCTCAGATAATGTAAAACAAAACAAACTGAGTAATTTTATGCCCCAGCTTCTAGAGAGAAAACACAATCTAGCTTTAGTTTTTGGTTATGGTTTAAATGTCCTCTTACCCACTATACACCATGCAAGAAAGAATCCTGTCCACTGCTAGAATCAAACCACAAACTCCTAGACGACTTTACACTTCGGTTTCCCTCGACACAGGACTGCATAGGTTGACAATCAATTGACTTGACAGAGGAAGAGGCTGATACCCCAGAGAAGAGTAAGCCTGCCCAGAGGAGTCAGCTGCTTCAGGGAGAAACAGTGGATGCGAGAACACAAGGAAAACCCACAACCAGTATAAACTAAAAACAAAAATAACCAGTGTGAAACTTTCATAGTGGGATAAAGTTACAGAACAAATATAGTGCAGTACCCGCCATATCGCCAGAGTATCATCAGGTGCCATTTTGGGAGGAAGTTGACTGTGTGGGACTGAGTCACAGAACACCTATACTACAACTTCACTCCAGGACTGAGTAAAGAACTGCCACAGGAGCCATACTCGGAGAGAGTAAAGGCTAAAAATATATTCTTTCAGATCCTCTGAGAAGTCTAAGCTCAGGCCAGGAAGGCAGAGGGCCTGAATTCTGTACACCAGATTCAGCAGGCCTGACTTTAGAAGTGACTGGATCTACAAGTATTTAGGCTGCTGGTTTGCTTGAGCACCCATATCACTGCTTACATCCAGAGAAGATCAGTGGTCTGATTGCTTTCACACGTACAAATGTGAGTAAGTACATGTCTTGGCTTGGAAGGTTGCTGCAGACTAGAGTTTATTGATAGGGGGACCTCTTGAGGACTGTGACTTGCTAGATTCCAAAGGCTGCAGATCCTATGTATTTGGAAATACGTAAGTATTCTTTTTTTCCTTTCTCCTTTGACCTTTTTTTTTTAGTTTCTCTATTTTGCTTTTGGTGGTGCTTGGAGTATAAGCTCCCATTTTCATTTCCCCCCTTTAAAATTAAAATTATCTTTATTGCCAGGTGATGCACACCTGTAATCCCCGCACTCAGGAGGCTAAGGCAGGAGGATTGCTGCAAATTCAAGGCCAGGCTAGGATACAAAGTGAGTTCAAGACCAGCCCGAACTGCACAGTGAGACCCTGCCTCAAAAAGACAAGAAAAAAATATTCATTTATTTAATTAGGTTCTTTTTTTGTCTCTTTTTTGGCTTTCTTTCAATTTGTTCCCTTATCTTCTTTTTTTTTCTTTTACTGTTTCTGTCTTATTATTTATCCCTTTTCTTATTGGTCCTTTTCTGTTGCTTTTATCTAATACTTCTAATTTCTTTTTACTCCTTAATTAAGGCTCCATTTCCCCACTACCTCTATATTTACAAATATAACCATTAAGTTTTATAAATCTATAGTTAAATATATCTTACTATGCTTGAACACTGTTATACTGTTAATGGAGGTAAGGTTGTTCTATAGGTACTTACTGCAGATGGTCATCTGGTATATAATAGTGTTTATACTGTAAGTATAGATCTCTTTTCTATGGTTAAAAGTAGTATATTCGTAGTTTTAGGGTTGGACAATATCCAGCTTGCATTTAACATTACTGTTGTTGGTTTTATGAATTAAGCCAAGGTGACATAGTTGTTGCTATCAAATGGTTTTTTCTATGTCAGTATCTGGATTGTCTGGGGATCATAAACAACACATTCCATGGGTACTAGCTCAAATATGCTACAACCTCCTCTCTCAGAGATGGGTGGATCTTGGGACAGTGGCAAAGGCTAATAGATATGCCCAGGCACCTCTTTAAAAAGTAGATACTAAACAGGTCTCTATATTAGCAACTAAGCTACTCACTATAATCAATCTGCAAGTCTCAGCACAGAAAACAAACAAAAAATAGAAACATGAAAAAACAAAGAAATACAATACCTCCAAAAACTCCCAACTCCCACAAAGTCAATCTAAAGAGCACTGAGGGAGAAGAAATCAAAAGCCACACAGATGAAGTATTTATTGAACATCTATTATAGGCCAAACACTGTGAGGAAACTATTAA